GATTCAAAATAATTTTTGATTATCTTCTGTATATCTGAAGTGTCTGTTGTGATATTGCCTTTTTCATCCCGTATGCTAGTAATTTGAGTTCTCTCTCTTCTTCTCTTTGCTAGCATGGCTAAGGGTCTGTCGATTTTGTTTATTTTTTCAAAGAACCAACTTTTAGTTTTGTCAATTTTTTCAATTGTTTCTTTTGTTTCGATTTCATTAATTTCAGCTCTGATTTTAATTATTTCTTGCCTTCTACTTCTTTTGCTGTTGTTTTGCTCTTCTTTTTCTAGGATTTTGAGATGAAGTATGAGATCATTTATTTGTTGGTTTTTTCTTTTTTTAAGGAATGAACTCCAAGCAATGAATTTTCCTCTTAGAACTGCTTTCAATGTGTCCCATAGATTCCGATATGTTGTGTCTGTGTTTTCATTAATCTCTAAGAATTTTTTAATTTCCTCCTTTATGTCTTCTGTAACCCATTGATCATTCAGTAACCTATTGTTCATGGAGATCTCCAAGTGATGTTTGCTTTTTCCTTCCTTCTTTTATCGTTGATTTTCAGTTCCATTCCATTATGATCAGATAGGATGCATGGTATTATCTCTACTCCTTTATATTGTCTAAGAGTTGCCCTGTGACATAATATATGATCTATTTTTGAGAAGGATCCATGTGCTGCTGAGAAAAAAGTGTAACTGCTTGATGTTGGGTGGTATATTCTATATATGTCAATTAAGTCTAGGTTATTAATAGTGTTATTGAGTTCTATAGTTTCCTTATTCAACTTTTGTTTGGAAGATCTGTCCAGTGGCGAGAGAGGTGTGTTGAAGTCTCCCATGATTATTGTATGGTGGTCTATTAGACTCTTGAACTTGAGAAGAGTTTGTTTGATGAACATAGCTGCACCATTGTTTGGGGCATATATATTTATGATTGTTATGTCTTGTTGGTGTATGGTTCCCTTAAGCAGTATGTAGTGTCCCTCTTTATCTCTTTTGATTAACTTTGGCTTGAAATCTATTTTATTTGATATGAGTATGGACACTCCTGCTTGTTTCCGAAGTCCATATGAGTGATATGATTTTTCCCAACCTTTCACCTTCAGCCTATGTATGTCTTTTCCTATCAAATGCGTCTCCTGTAGGCAGCATATTGTTGGGTCTTGTTTTGTGATCCATTCTACTAGCCTGTGTCTCTTGATTGGTGAGTTTAAGCCATTAACATTTAGGGTTATTATTGAGATATGGGTTGTTCTTCCAGCCATATTTGTTTATTTATGTTACTAAACATGGTTTGTTTTCCTCTTTGATTATTTTCCCCCCCTTTACTGTCCTACCTCCCACTGTTGGTTTTCATTGTTATTTTCCATTTCCTCTTCCTGTAATGTTTTGCCAAGGATGTTTTGAAGAGATGGTTTTCTAGCTGCAAATTCTTTTAACTTTTGTTTATCGTGGAAGGTTTTAATTTCATCTTCCATCCTGAAGCTTAATTTCGCTGGAAACACAATTCTTGGTTGGAACCCATTTTCTTTCAGTGTTTGAAATATGTTATTCCAGGATCTTCTAGCTTTCAGAGTCTGGGTTGAAAGATCAGCTGTTATCCTGATTGGCTTACCCCTAAATGTGATCTGCTTCCTTTCTCTTGTAGCTTTTAAAATTCTCTCCTTATTCTGTATGTTGGGCATCTTCATTATAATGTGTCTAGGTATGGGTCTCTTATGATTTTGCACATTCGGCGTCCTGTAGGCTTCTAGGATTTGGGATTCTGTCTCATTCTTCAAGTCTGGGAAGTTTTCTCGTATTATTTCATTGAATAGATTGCTCATTCCTTTGGTTTGAAACTCTGTCCCTTCCTGTATCCCAATGACTCTTAAATTTGGTCTCTTGATGTTATCCCATATTTCTTGGATGTTCTGCTCATGGTTTCTTAACAGTCTTGCTGAGCTGTCTATGTTCTTTTCAAGTTGAAATACTTTATCTTCATTGTCTGATGTTCTATCTTCTAAGTGTTCTACTCTGCTGGTAGTATTCTCAATTGAGTTTTTAAGTTGGTTTATTGCTTCCTGCATTTCTAGGATTTCTGTTTGTTTTTTATAACCTCTATCTCCCTGTATAGTTGATCTTTTGCTTCTTGGATTTGTTTATGTAATTCATTATTGAAGTGATCTTTCATTGTCTGATTTTGCTGTCTGATGTCTTCCTTGAGACTCCAGATCATCTGAAGCATGTATATCCTGAATTCTTTATCTGACATTCCATCTGCTGCAGCTATTACCTCTTCTAATGTTGAGTTGACCTGCATTGCTTGTGGTCCTTTCTTTCCTTGTCTCTTCATACTGTTCGCGTTCCTTTCTACTTGGTGAAACTGTTGTGCTATTGAATTTTGCCCCTATATATTTATATTGGTCTTGTATAGTTGCAAAGTCTCCCTCACAGGCGCGGGCGGCGGCTCTGCCCGTCCTCCAATTGGGGCAATGTGCCTACCATGCCGGCAGGCCGCTGGGCCTGCTCTGCCGGTCGGTAGCAGGTCCGCCTACCTTGCAGGCGCGGGCGGCGGCTCTGTCCCTCTGTGGGCCGCTAGGCTTGTTCTGTCGGTGGCCGCAGTTCTGCCTACTTTGCAGGCGCAGGCAGCGGCACTGCCCCTCTGCAGGCCTCTGGGGCTGTTCTGCCTGTGGGTCGCAGGTCCGCCTACCTTGCAGGCGCGGGGCGGGGGGGCGGCCCTACCCTTCCTCAGGCCACTGGGCCTGTTCTGTATGTTGGTTGCAGGTCTGGCCTGTTCTGATGGTGGTCACAGTTCCATCTACCTTGCAGGCGCGGGGGGAAGGGGCGGCTCTGCCTCTCAGCAGGCCGCTGCTCCTCTTCTGCCGGTGGGTCGCAGGCCCGCCTACCTTGCAGGAGTGATTGGAAGCTCTGCCCCTCCGCGGGCCACTGGGCCTTTTCTGTCTGTGGTCACAGTTCCGCCTACCTGGCAGGCGCGGGGGGGTGGTGGGCGGCTCTGCCCCTCAGCAGGCAGCTGGGCCTGCTCTGTGGGTGGTCACAGTTCCGCCTACCTGGCAGGCGCGGGGCGTGGGGGGCGGCTCTGCCTCTCAGCAGGCCGCTGCTCCTCTTCTTCCGGTGGGTCGCAGGCCCGCCTACCTTGCAGGAGTGATTGGAAGCTCTGCCCCTCAGCAGGCCTCTGGGCCTGCTCTGTGGGTGGTCACAGTTCTGTCTACCTTGCCGGCGCAGGGGGAGGGGGCGGCTCTGCCTCTCAGCAGGCCGCTGCTCCTCTTCTGCCGGCGGGTCGCAGGCCCGCCTACCTTGCAGGAGTGATTGGAAGCTCTGTCCCGCCGCGGGCCACTGGGCCTTTTCTGTTGGTGGTCATCCTTGGCCCATTTATTGATTGAGCTATTTGGGTCTTGCTGAGTTGCTTAGGGCCTCCTAAATTGCTAAGGCTGGCTTTGAACTTGGGATCCTTCTGTCTCAGCTTCCCAAGCCTCTGGGATTATAGGATACGCCACCACACCCAGCTAACTTTTCCATTCTTAGTCTGTTAACAAATTGTCCATATTCATCTAGATCACCAGTATAAGCTCATCATTTAGAAGAATGCTTGGCATGTGGAAGGCACTCAAAAATATTTGTTGAATGAATAATTAAACAAATAAATGAATGACTATATATCCATCTTCTCTATCTTCTTCTCTGTTTCAAAGAATTCATTCAGAGCCACAAGACAATGTTCAAAGCCAGCCTTAGCAATATAGGAGGCCCTAAGCAACTCAGCAAGACCCTGTCTAAATAAAATATAATAAAAGTTTTGGGGATGTGGCTCAGTGGTTAAGTGCCCCTGGATTCAATCCCTGGTACCCCCCCCCCAAAAAAAAAAGGAAAAGTTAGATTTCTGTTGTTCACGGTGGTAGCCACTAGTTAAATGTAGCCATTTAAGTTGAAATTAGTTAAAATTAAGCAAAATTGAAGTGTGTCAGTCCTATTAAGCTGCTTCAAATACTCTGTTGCCACATGTCACTAGTGGCTACCATAGTAAATAGTACAAACATAGAATACTTCTACCATCATAGAAAGTTTCATTGGGTAGCACTGAGATAGACTAATAATTGGGGAATTACAGCACAGTATAAATGCTGTGATAGGGAAGTACAGATTGTTGTGGTATAACAGAAAATAACAAGCCTGTAGAAATTAGGGAAAGCTTTCTAAATGAAGTATCATTAATGGCAAATCTTGAAAAGATGTGTAAAAATTGTACAGAGAAGGGAAACTGCAAGTATATTTCAGAAATAGCCAGCACAAAAGCCTGGCAGTGAAAAGAAATTTTGTATTAGATAGAATATTCTAAGAGTTAAGGTGTGGCAAGAGATGAGACAGGAGATTGAGGAAGAAACCAGATCATTATATAGGACCTTATATAACATATTCAGAAGTTTAGGCTTGGTGGCTAATATCTCTTTATTTCCTTCCTTCCTTCCTTTTTTTTTTTTTTTTTCTGGTTGCATTAGGGAATTCCTTTCTTGCCCTTGAACATGCTAGGCAAATTCTCTACAACTAAGTTACACCTCCAGTCTTTTTAGATTTTATTTTGAGACAGGAGTTCACTAAGTTGCTCAGGATGGCCTTGAATTTCTGATCCTCTGGCATCAGCCTCACAAGTAGCTGGGATTCAAATGTCACCCAACACAACCAGCTTGACAGCTAATCTCTAGTTTCTCTTATTAACTTCCAGATTGTCTTGGCATTCAAAAATATATAAAGCTTAAGTGATAAGTTGGGAAAGTGTCAAATGTTTGCACTTTATTTGTCATGATATTTAAGATACCAAATAAAGTTGCTGTCTTTGCTAAAATGACAAAAACCCTTTCTTGACATTCAGTATGAAATCCATTCAGCATTTATTTTCCAGTTAGAAAGTTTAAAATGACTCTTAGTGGGTTAATTACTCTTAGCAGTAAATGTATGTGTATGTGCACACATGCAAGCTTGAATTTTTCTTATTCTACTGACTTTATTATTTAGGGTGATGAAGAAACATTTGAAAATTACTACCGAAAACAAAGAAAGAAACAAGCAAGACTGGTATTACAACCCCAATCAAGTATGGTAAGTATGTTAAAATTATTTATTAGCTTTGTTGGTACTTTTTATCCCCTTATCCTGCTTTAATTTCTTCAGAGCATGTGTCACTATTCATTCAACTACAAATGTCTGTTGAACATTTACCTTTTGTAGTAATTGGTTTAGGTGCCAAGGATACAGCACTGAACAAAATTAAATCCCTTCTCCCATGAGTTTGCGTTCTACTAGGGAAGAAAATTAATAATAGTAAAAGATAAAAATGAATATGTAGAATGTCAGGGAGTAATAATTAATTCCTAATCATATGGGAAATTGTGTATGTTGATTAATTGTCACACCTAAAGATGCTGGATAGACATTTAAGTTTTTTTTAAATTTCTTTTTAAAAGCACAGAAGACCTGACAGAATAGTATAATCAGGCCCAAAACTAAGTGAATGTAGAACTCTTCTATACGTTGATTGTGGTAATAGTTAATGTGACTAGTTTGTGGAAGCTCATAAGAAACTGCATATGAAAGAGAGTGAATTTTATTGTATGTAATTTTTATCTGAATACATCTGACTACAAAACAGATGAGTGAAATAAGAAAACCTAAAGGAAAGCAGAAACTCAGATAGGTTTGGTGAGGGACTGTTTTAGTCAGCTTTTATACTGCTGTGATTAAAGACCTGACAAAAACAATTTTATTGGAGAAAAAGTTTATTTGGGAGTTCATAGTTTCAGAGGTCACAGTCCATAGATAGCCAGCTCCATTCCTCAGGGCACATGGTGAGGCAGAACATCATGGCGAAAGCGTGTGGTAGAGGGGAACAGCTCACATGATAATCAGGAAGCAGAGAGAGAGTCCACTCATCAGATATAAAATATGTACCCCAAAGGCATGCCCCCAATTCCTACCTCTGCCAGCTATACCCTACCTGCCTTCAGTTACCACTCAGTTAATCCCCATCAGGGAATTAATTCACTGATTGAGTTAAAGTTCTCATAATCCAATTATTTCACCTCTAAGCCTCCTTATATTGTCTCACACTGAGCTTTTGGATGACACCTCACATCTAGACCATAACAGGGATTGAATGTAGTTTTTATTGTAGGAGCATATATTGAATTGGAAAGCATACGTTTCAGGATATGGAGTTCAGAGGGTTAAGCCCAGGGCCAAACCAAAGTAGATGTCCTGTTAGAAATTATATCCCTTTTAAAGCCCCATTATTAGGATGTCCTACAAATAAAACCATCTAAAATCTTCTCTATTCCTTCTTGCAAATACTATAAAGAAAATTACTTATCTCAGATGTCATTGCTGAGTGAACAGGGAGAAAAAATTCTTTTGAGGATTCATAAGAAGTTTGTCACATGTGTTTGCAGCTCAAATGCATTCTTGTTGGATAGTCCAAAAAAAAAAAAAAAATCAACTGAAAGTTTAGTTTAAAGTTGCTCCATGGTGACATTGCTTTCAAGTGTCTGGCAGAAGTGATTGTAGATCTTTGCACTTTCATTCCAGAATTAAAGAGTATTCATAGTTAAAGTTTTAAGGAAAATTTAGCAATTCACAGTCAAAAGTAATTACCAGATAAGTGAGAATCATTTACCCCTCACACATCAGACAGAGCACTAATCTCTAGGCTATATAAAGAACTCAAAAAGCTAAGCACCAAAAAAGCCCAAATAACCCAGTCAATAAATGGGCCAGGGACCTGAACAGACACTTCTCAGAAGAGAATATACAAGCAATCAACAAATACATGAAAAAATGTTCATCATCTCTAGCAATTAGAAAAATTCAAATCAAAACTAAGATATCATCTCATTCCAGTCAGAATGGCGGCTATTATGAAAACAAACAACAGTAAGTGTTGGTGAGGATGTGGGGGAAAACGTACACTTATACATTGTTGGTGGGACTGCAAATTGGTTCAGCCAATATGGAAAGCAGTATGGCTATTCCTTGGAAAACTGGGAATGGAACCACCATTTGACCCAGCTATCCCTCTCCTTGGTCTATACCCAAAGGACTTAAAAACAACATACTACAGGGACACAGCCACATCAATGTTTATAGCAGCACAATTTACAATAGCTAAATTGTGGAACCAACCTAGATGCCCTTCAGTAGAGGAATGGATAAAAAAAAATTGGCATATATAGACAATGGAATATTACTGAGCAATAGAAGAGAATAAAATCATGGCATTTGCAGGTAAATGGATGGCGTTGGAGAAGACAATGCTAAGTGATGTTAGCCAATCCCAAAAAGCCAAATGCTGAATATTTTCTCTGATGTAAGGTGACTGACTCATAGTTGGGTAGGGAGGGGGAGCATGGGAGGAATAGACGAACTCTAGATAGGGCAGAGGGGTGGTAGGGGAAGAGAGGGGGCAGGGGGTTAGCAATGATGGTGGAATGTGATGGACATCATTATCCAAAGTACATGTATGAAGACATGAAAAAAAAAAGAATATTGATAACAGGAAAAGGTGGTGAATGTTACAAACCTTTGAGTATAAAATAACACTATTTAATATGCTTAAAGAAATAAAAAGTAAGCTTTCTAAGAAATATAATAAGGACCAGAAACTACAAAGAATGACCAAACAGATGTGAAGAAAACAGAATATCTAGAAATTAAAGATACATTAACTGAAGTTAAAATGTTATGAATGGGTGTTAACAGTTCATTAATCATTTCTTTGTTGATCTGAAGATATTACCTAGAAAGCATCACAGGGAAATGAAAGAAAAAAAATCAGATGAGAGACATAGAAGATACAAAGATACTAGAGTTCTCATGTGTGTGTGTAAGAAGGGAGTTTCAGAAAGAGAGTAGAACAAATGGGACAGAGGAATATTTGATGATGTATGTCTGATAATTTTTTGAAAGAGATGAAAAATGAAAATTCACAGTCAAGCCCAAAGAATCCTAAATAGATTAAAGAAAAAGAAACATATTGTCAGAAACCCTATAATGAGATTTCAGAATATCAATGTCAAAGATAATGTAGAAGACTGAAAAACATTATCATATTATCTTGATCTCACTGACATTTATTGAATACTTCATCCAAAACAGCAGAATTCATGTATGTTTCAGGTGCACATGGAAGACTCACAAGACAGATCATATTCTGGGCCATAAAACGAATATCAACATATATAAAAGGCTTGAAATCATACAAAGTTTGTGCTCTGTTCACAAGATATTATATGATTCCATGCAATAGAAAAAAGGAATATTAACTCTTAACCTCATTTAGCAATTTAAAAAATGGATCGTAGACCTAAATGTAAGAGCCAAATTTATAAACTTTTAGAAAGAAAGAAAGAAAGGTAAAACCTTTGTGACCTTGGATTGGGCAGCATTTCTTTAGGTAAGATACATAAAGCATGAACGATTTTAAAAATTTGATGAATTGATGTCTGGTATAGTGATGCCACCTGCTTCATTCTTCCTGCTAAGGATTGCTTTAGCTATTCTGGGTCTCTTATTTTTCCAGACGAATTTCATGACTGCTTTTTCTGTTTCTGTGAGGAATGTCATTGGGATTTTGATCAGAATTTCATGAAATCTGTATAGTGCTTTTGGTAGTATGGTCATTTTTTTAATATTAATTCTGCCTATCCAAGAGCAAGGTAGATCTTTCCATCTTCTAAGGTCTTCTTTGATTTCTCTCTTTAGGGTTCTGTAGTTTTCATTATATAGATCTTTCACCTCTTTCATTAAGTTGATTCCCAAATATTTTATATTTTTTGAGGCTATTGTAAGTGGAGTAGTTTAAAAACAGTATGGTATTGGCACCAAAACAGACTGGTAGACCGATGATACAGAATAGAAGACACAGAGACTAACGCACAAAATTATAATACCTTATATTAGACAAAGGTGCCAAAAACATGCAATGAAGAAAAGATAGCCTCTCTAACAAATGGTGCTGGGAAAAATGGAAATCCATATGCAACAAAATGAAATTAAACCCCTCTCACCATGCACAAAACTCAAATCAAAATGGATCAAGGATCTAGGGTTAAAACCAGGAATAAAACTATTAAACCTGCATCTAATAGAAGAAAAAGTAGGTCCTAATCTTCATCATCTGTGATTAGGCCCCAACTTCCTTAATAACACTCCTTTGGCACAAGAATGAAAATCAAGAATCAGTAATGGGATGGATTCAAACTAAAAAGTTTCTTCTCAGCAAAAGAAACAATCTGTGAGGTGAATAGAGAGCCTACATCTTGGAAGCAAATCTTTACCCTCACATATCAGATAGAGCACTAATCTCTAGGGTGTATAAAGAACTAAAAAAGCTAAGCACCAAAAAAAAAAACAAAAAACAAATAACCCAATTAATAAATGGGCCAAGGACCTGAACAGACACTTCTCAGAAGAGAATATACAATCAATCAACAAATATATGAAAAAACGTTCATCATCTCTAGCAATTAGAGAAATGCAAATCAAAACTAAGATATCATCTCACTCCAGTCAGAATGGCAGCTATTAAGAACACAAACAACAGTAAGTATTGGCGAGGATGTGGGGAAAAAGGTACACTTATACACTGTAAATTGGTTCAACCAATATGGAAAGCAGTGTGGAGATTTCTTGGAAAATTGGGAATGGAACCATCATTTGACCCAGCTATCCCTCTCCTTGGTCTATACCCAAAGGACTTAAAAACAGCATACTACAGTACACAGCCACATCAATGTTTATAGCAGTACAATTCAAAATAGCTAAATTGTGATACCACCTAAATGCCCTTCAATAGATGAATAGATAAAAAAAAGTGTGGCATAGATACACAATGGAATATTATTCAGCAATAGAAGAGAATAATAATCATGGCATTTGCAGGTAAATGGATGGAGTTAGAGAAGGTAATGCTAAGTGACATTAGCCAATCCCCAAAAGCCAAATGCCGAATATTTTCTCTGATATAAGGAGGCTGAGATTAACATTAAACAGGGATGAGAGGTGGGAGGGAAAGGGAGAGAGAAGGGAAATTGCATGGAAATGGAAGGAGACCCTCAGAGTTATACAAAAGTACATACAAGAGGAAGTGAGGGGAAAGGGAAAAATAATACAAGGGGGACAAATGAATGTCAGTAGAGGGGGCAGAGAGAGAAGAGGGGAGGGGAGGGGAGGGGAGGGGGGATAGTAGAGGATAGGAAAGGCAGCAGAACACAACAGACACTAGTATGGCAATATGTAAATCAATGGTTGTGTAACTGATGTGATTCTGCAATCTGTATATGGGGTAAAAATGGGAGTTCATAACCCACTTGAATCAAAGTGTGAAATATGATATATCAAGAACTATGTAATGTTTTGAACAACCAACAATAAAAAATAAAAAAAAAAAGGAGGCTGATTCATAGTGGGGTTGGGAGGCAAAGCATGAGAGGAATTGATGAACTCTAGATAGGGCAGAGGGGTGGGAGGGGAAGGAAGGGGGAATGGGATTAGAAATGACGGTGGAATGTGATGGACATTATTATTCAAAGTACATGTATGAAGACATGAATTGGTGTGAATATACTTTGTATACAACCAAAGATATGAAAAATTGTAATACATTCCCTTATCATATATAAATTAAAAAATTAATTAAAAAATAAAACCCAATAACAAATTATTTTTAAAGAGCTATTATATAGACTGGTCTTATGAGTCATATTATGTCTATTAAATTAATTTTGATATCCTCAAAAACAAACAAACAAAACTTGATGAATTGAATAGCAAAATTAAAAACTTCTGCTGTTCAAAGCCATTGTCAAAATACCCCAGTTAATGAATGGGCAAAAGAACTAAACAGACACTTCTCAAAAGAAGAAATACAAATGACCAATACATATATGAAAAAATACTCAACATTCCTGTCAATCAGGGAGATGCAAATCAAAAGTATATTGTGATTCCATCTTACCCCAGTTAGAATGGCAGTCATCAAGGATACAAATAATAAATGTAGGAGAGGATGAGGGGGAAAAGGTACACTTGTACATTGTTGGTGGGAATGCAAATTACTATAACCACTTTGGAAAGTAGTATTGATATTCCTCAAAAGACTAGGAATAGAACCACCATATCACCCAGCGATTTCACTATGGGTATTTATCCAAAAGAACTAAAATCAGCATACTATGGTGATACAGGCCTGTCAATGTTTATAGCAGTGTAATTTACAACAGCTAAGTTATGGAATCAGCCAAGGTCCCTATCAGCAGATGAATGGATTAAGAAAATGTGGTATGTACAGAGTGGAGTTTTATTCAGCCATAAAGAAAAATGAAAGAATGGCATTTGCTAGTAAATGGATAACACTAGTGAACATCATGCTAAATGAATTAAGCCACACTCAGAAAGTCAAAGGTCAAATGTTTTCTCTCATCCATGGAAGTTAGAGCAAAGTAAGGGAAAAAGGGGGGCATGGGGGTTTGGAAGTAGGAATCAGATCTCAAAAAAATAAAAGAGAGAAAACAGTGGTGTTACAGGAAAGAGATTGAGGGGAGGGAGGAGGAATGGGAAAAGGGAGGAAAAGAAGGAAATGCAGAATGAATTTGAGGAAATTACAGTATGTACCTATATAAATATACCACAGTGAATTCCATCTTTATGTACATCTATAAAGCACCAATTAAGAAATAAATAAATAGGGCTGGGGTTGTGGCTTAGAGGTAGACTGCTCACCTAGCATGTGTGAGGCACTGGGTTCGATCCTCAGCACCACATGAAAATAAAGATATTGTGTCTACCTACAGCTAAAAAATAAATACTTAAAAATAAATAAGTAACAGAAGGAAGATAAGTAGAATAGAGGAGGAAGGATAGGGAGATGGAGGGGGGTGAGTGGGAGAGAGAAAGTGCTAGGGACTGAAATGGAGACAGCTAAATTCCATGTATATGTGATTATGTCAAAATGAACCCCACTATTATGTGTAACTATAATGAACTTATAAAAACATTTTTTAAAAACGGCATTTTCAAGAAAATCAAAAGGCAAGACACACATTTGGAGAAATATTTGCAAAACTCATGTCTAACAAAGGGCTTATATCCAGAATATAAAAATAACATATAATTCAACAGTTAAAAGACAAACAAACTAGCTTTGAAAATGACAATAAAAATTTGAATAGACATTTTATCAAAGATATACAGATGGTAAATAAACACATGAAAAAATGTTCAGTATAATTTTTTGTCAGGAAAATGTAAGCTAAAACCATAGTGAATTGCTATGACATACTTACTAGGATAACTGACTTTAAAAAAATTGATAATACCAAGTGCTGATGAGGATGTAGAACAGTTAGAATTCTATTATACTGTGGTGGGTATAGAAATTACCCTGCCACTTTGGAAAACAGTCTGGCAATTTAAGATAATGAATTATCATAAAACCCTACATCCCCAATCCTAGATTTTTACTCAGAAGAAATGAAAATATGTTTTTATACAGTGGTTCATATGTGAATGTTTATAGTAGTTTTATTAATAAATGTCAAAACTTGAACCAACCTGAATTTCTGTGAACTAGTTGATAAATTGTGGTTAATCCACATGAGTAGATAAACAAATTGTTGCATATCATATAATGGAATACTTCTCAGCAATAAAAAGGAATTGATAAACATAGATAAATGGGTACACTTCAAAAGCATTATTCTGAGTAAGAAAATTAGATAATGAAGTTATGTTATTTGACATTTTTGAAAAGGCAAAACTGTGGGACAGAATGGGATTAGTGGTGGTCAAAGACTGGGAGTTGGGCAAAATAGTTCACTGCAAAAGGGTATAAAGAAACTTTATGAGCTAAAAATCTAGTTATACTTTTTGATTTTGGTAGTGATTACACAACTGTCTACATCTGTCAAAATTTAGTGAACTCTGTAGAAAAAGAGTTGGTTTTATGCTATGTAAATTATATGCCAATAAACTGTACATAAAAACAAAGATAAATCAATCTTAAAATCCTCAGAAGAGATTATTATCAAGTAAACAAGACAATGAAATATTATCAGTGCTGAACAAAAATAACTGTCAACCTAGGAAACAAGGTCAAAGATACATATTTTAAACAAAGAAAAGCAGAACTTAAGGAAAATTTAAAAGAAAAGGAAAAAGGAAAGTGAGACCATGTGGAAGATACGAGATGTGAGGAGGAATGAATAGTGAAGAAAGTATAAATATGTAGATAAACCTATGTTGACGGTACAAAATTTTCAATAAGATATTATGGACTTAAGATGGAATTAAAATACAAAATAATAACATAAACATTAGAATGAGATTGGAGTTAATGAAAGTGTCTGAATTGTCCAGAAGAGCAGCAAAAATGTTTGACTAATTTTAGAGTTTGATTACTTACAGATATATAATGTGGTGTTTAGGGTAATTTCTAAAGGAATAAAAACCAAGTATATACTTTCATATAATACAAGATAAAGCCTATAATGATAAAAAAATAAAATATATGTGTGTCTTAGAGTTGTTAAAAATTATAATTATATACCTGTGTGCACTTAATAACATTGATTGGAAATATTTAAAGCAAATTTGCCATAATTACAAGGAGAAGTGGAAAAATCCATAAGCATAGTAGATTTTCAGTTGTCTCAGTATCTTGAAAGCCAAGTGGACAGAGTGCCAGTAAGAATATACAGTACACTTAAGAGGCTTGATCTAATGGAACATAGAGAACCCTATTTCAACAGTTGCACATACGTATATATACTCTTTTAGAGTACACATGGGATAATAAAAAACATTTTTAATTACATTCTGTATAGAATAAAGCAAGTATCAAGGAATATCAAACATTTGGTGTCATTGTAAACTGTAGTTTCTGAGCACAGTATTTTTTAAGTTAGAAGGTATTAACAGTCTTCTCCCTGCAAAAATTGGAAAAAAAAGACCCAGAAATTTGAAAATTTGATCACATTTATGAAATATGCAAATATATAATTTGAACAATAGAAATATGAAATATTTTCTACCAGCAAGTTTTTATCGATGACGAGTCAGGTGATCAAATGTTTTCTTTTATGCCTTTTGTTAAAATGATAAACAATGGGCAAATGTAGACTATTTTTAAGAAGTTAAACTTGTTATATGAAAAGGCACTAAAAGTTTTTTTTGGGGGCGGGGGAAGTTCCTGGGGGTTGAACTCAGGGGCACTTGACCACTGAGCCACATCCCCAGCCCTATTTTGCGTTTTTGTTTAGAGACAGGGTCTCACTGAGTTGCTTAGCACCTCACTTTTGCTGAGGCTGGCTTTGAACTCAAAATCCTCCTGCCTCAACCTCCTGAGTACTGGGATTACAAGTGTATGCCACTGCATCAGGCACTAAAAGTTCTTTTTGGCAGAAGATGTAATGTTCTGATTATTGTTTGAAAAGCATTATCCTGCAGCTATATGAGAATATACCATAGGAGGCAAGGCTGGAAGCTAGGGAGACTAGGTAGGAAAATGATGCGTTAACCCAAGTAAGAGATGATGATAGTTTCAACTTGGGTGCTGAGAGGGGGTTCTGAAATCCTATTTACTTTTAACTTATTTAATGTCTTATCTTCTTTCATATGTAAGCACTTTTTGTTATTTACATGTGTATTTCTGGTACCTAAAAATACATGTAGCATACAGTAGGCTGTCAATAAATATTTGTTAGTGAAGTTGTAGTAATTTGGAACCTTTATATCACTGGTATTTATTGGTTTAAATGGTTTTTGTTTTTCATTTAAAGCATGAAACAGTTGATGGCTATAGAAGATATTTCACTCAAATTGTAGGGTATGTATCTAATATGGAAGTAACTATTATTAATTTTAATTATGTTAAACATAAGAAATAAACATTTTCTATTTGGGCTTTTAAAAAAAATTTTTAACACATGCTGTGTTGGTAATTACTATTCTAGGTTCTTTGTTGTGGAAGATCATATTTTACATGTGACTCAAGGATTAGTAACCAGGGCATACACTGATGAACTTTGGAACATGGCCCTCTCAAAGATAATTGCTGTCCTTAGAGCTCATTCAGTAAGTCAGACAATTTTTGTTACTAAAATTTTAATTCGGTTACTTCAAGAACTTTGGAGTTACACAATTCAAAGGAAAACTGTACTTCCATCTTTCTGCATTTTTTTGGTAATTTCTTCAATCTGAAAGCAGTAATGTTAGGCCTTTATGTTTCTGGTAATATCACTCTGGATTTTGCAACTGACGGGGGCTTCCCAAGACATTTTTATTCTAGCATTATAGAAAATGAAGAATTAAGCTGGTCTCATTAGTCTCAACTGACCTCTTTATTGGATCACTGAAAAGCACCATGAAGAAAGGATTTTTAATTATCATTCCAAATTCTTTGTTTCCAAAATAAGCTCCACCATTAAAACTCAATAGAACTTGTTTTTCAATGTTTATAATTTGCAGTAGTACACTACAATTATGAATTTATGAAAAATTTTCAGTTTTAAAAAGTTGAACTCATTTGAAATAATGAACGTTTGTGTAATGAGAAGATTTTATGGACTAAAATTGAGCAAATATTTTCCTAAGGCTTTTTGTGGAAATCATAAATATGTTAGTGTCATAAGCAAGATTGAAATTAAAAATTGGTCACTGTAGACTTTTCTTTAATAAGACAGTCTAAACTTACTAACCCTCAGTAAAATATCACCGTATTCAAATTTTATAATCTGATATTTATAATAATTTTATTATTGATTAAATAGAGATTTAAAATATCTTGAGGGAGGATTAATTATCATATATAATATTTAGATTGTAAACACACTACATTTTTATTTATCAGGAATCTAGATGCACTATCCTATGAACTGGAACTTTTTCTGACATATTAATAAAGAGTAATACTTTTTTTGGGGGGTGGGCGGGTGTTGGAGATCAAACCCAGGACCTCACACGTGCTAGGGAAGTGCTCTACCACTGAATAATACATTTTATCAGATCAGCTCTAAGTATATAAAATTATGGTATGTTTCCTATTAATTCCATGACATTAAATGTTAAATCATATTATTAAATGCAGTATATCATGTTCAAAATTTCATTAAATGCTGTTAAAAAATAATCCCAGATATTTTAATTGTTATTCTTATGTTAAAAAAAATACATTATATCTTTTTATAAGAGGGGGAATAAATGAATGAAAACTAAAAATGCATGGTCTATATTAAATCCATTGTGTCAGTTTAAAATAACTAGTTTCTTAAAATCTTAAAAATTTTATAAATATAAGTATTATTGTTTTGTCCAAGGTTTATCATGTGCAAATTTCAGAAAAAAATACAGTTACTTTAAATATCTCCCTAAAAATTTATACCAAGTAGAAGAAGCCAGCTGTGGATCTGACTAATAAAGATTTTAATTTTATTGTGAAGTCTGTTAAATTAAAAGAAACTTTTTTGAGGTTCTTATTTCTTAATTTTTAATTAAATGTCTCTGTCTTCCCCCCACCCTCCCACCCTGTGTTGTGTTTCCATCTCCACACTAACCCATCCTTGTTCCCTCAGTCTTATTGCACTGATCCTGATCTTGTTCTGGAGCTGAAGAATCTCATTGTAATTTTTGCAGATACTTTGCAGGTGAGTAATAACCTAATGTTCAATTAATGGCTGTTTTGAGCACTTAAAGACATACAAAATATAGAGCATGCTCATTTATTTTATTGTGGATTAATGGTAGTACATAGGTAGTAATAAATGTTTACTTATGTATTAGCATTCTCCTATTACCTCAAACTATTCATACCACTTCCTTCTAAAATAACAGAGAATTGATTGCATTTTTGTTTTTATGCTTAAACTTATGGGATTTTATGGTTAGAATTAAGTTTTTTTATTAAACACAGGCTAGCATTTTTGTAAGTATGAAACAGCTATATTTGCATATTGTTAGATATGCAACAAAAAGGAGTTTTTGTCAGAATGTGAATTAACTATATTATTAAGTACAGTGTTTAGGTCAATTGGCATCTTGCTATGGGTGGTAATTTGTCAGTGTAGTTTAACAACATTGATTTATCTTCTGGTACAAGCTCCTTATCTCTTTGTAGATCATTACAAACAGTTTTTGGATTGGCACTTTCAGAACAACTAAATCTAGAGTATTTGACATGGTTCTAAGGACCTTTGCAGGAAATCAAAGAAAATTGGAAAATTGTTGCATTGGAAAAGCAGCAGTGATGGTTATGTAAACCCTTGCCAAGGATACCTTTCTAATCTTACTACTTTAAAATAAGATTAAGGAGGACACCAGTTCTTTTCACTTATTCAGAAATGCTGCAGTTTTCATTTTGCTGAAAATTGACAGACTTATTATTTGGAGGATTTTTATCTGGCTTGTAAATTTAAACCTATTGAAGAATGGACCTGTCTTTTTCATTAAAACCAGTTAAGGAATGTCATATAATTTTTTTCTGGTACTAGGGATTCAATCTAGGGATGCTTTACCATGAGCTGCATCCCCACTCCTTCTAATGTTTTTTATCTTGAGACAAAGTCTCATAAAATTGCTGAAGCCTATCTGGAACTTGTAATCCTTCTGTCTCAGCTGCCCAAGTAGCAGGGATTACAAGCATGTGCCACTGCACCCAACTAATTTTTAGTTTTTTAAATTGGCCATCTTAAGGAAATTTTGCTTTTTAAAGTACCAGTGTTTTATCATTTAAAACAAGGTGACTAAACAATAAAGTAAAAAGTAACACCAGCACATTTCTAGTTCTGCTTACTGACTGTTAGGCAAATTGAAAGTAAACATAGATTGATTTATTCATTAACACTTTTTAAGCATCCTTTTAGCAGTTATTTGATATATAAAATGGTGGAGCCATAGAAATTAGTAAGAAAGTATGGGCATAGAAATCCTTGGTTTTAATAAATTCAATTTACTTGTAAACAAATAATGAATTTAATAAACAATATAATAAAACAATATGTTAAAGAGCACTAGCTCACAGAAGATAGAATGACTAATTTTGATTCCAGGAGTTGGGGAAGGCTATATACAGAGAGTTGAAATTTAAGCTAGATTTTGAAGGATGAGTTCAGCAAGCTGATAGGAAGGAAAGGACATTAAGAGAAAAGCATGTGCAAACTATAGATCTAGTTTGGGATGGTGAATTCTAGACTGATTTAGCAACTTGATTATGTTAGAAACTAGTATGTGGGTATGAGCAAGGAAGTACAAATAGTGGTGATGAAATTGATGAAGTAGTTTAAATTAGATTGTGGCAGGTCTTGTGGGAGGGAGTTAGTAAATCTTTTTTACTTTTTAGGGGGAATGGTATGATTGGGTTTGCACTTTTGAATGGTTGGTAATTTTGAGGGTTGAGAATCTATTCAGTTGAAATAGGTGGGTGTGATTTTAGTTTAGGAAACCCTTACAATGGCCTATGCAAGGGATGTGAAGGACCTGAAATAATTCAGTTTTCCTGGGAATATTTCTAGAAGAATGAAAGATTTGAAGGAGATTTGTGAAGGAGGAAAAAATGAAAAGTTTTCGGTGACTGATTAAATATATATAAGGGAGTTTAGGTGATTTTAAAGTTTTTCTCTTGAAAAACTGTATTGATGATAGAATTATTACCATAGATAGAAAGTAAGAAGACACATGGTTTAGTTAGAAAGGGAGAAAATAAGTTAATTTTAATGTGATTGTTGGCTAACTGAGTGGATTTTCTAACAAGATGTTGTAATTTATTGGAATTAATTGTCTGGAATTTAGAGAGGTCTAGCTAGACATATGGATTCAGAATAATCAGAAAAATAGTGATTAAAGTCATTAGAGTTAATATTGCTCTAGAGAATTAAAAGAAAAGGTAGAAGGACAGTGATAGAAATTAAACAAGGAACTGGAAGGATTGTTTACAGATGTAAAGAACAAGGAGAGTAAGGTGGTGTTACAGAATTCAAAGCAGAGGAGTTTCAAGGAAGAGGTCTCCCTTGAGATCATGGAATTTTATATTTAGGAGATAATCTTTCACATTGTTGAGCAGTTTAAATAAAGGAGTAGGAATGGGAATTAGATTGCATTAGGGGTGGCCATAAAAGAAGCGAAAGGGAAACACTTAGGAACCACAGAAATTTCAGAGAGGACTTTTTTGGTCTCTTTGTTGTTCTTAGTTTAAAGATGGGAGACAATTTAACATGTTTATTTAGCTAAGGGAAAGGAGCTAGGGAAAACTGAAGACATAATAGAATAAGTAGATAATCCATGGAATAGTTCTTACAGAAAGAGATAAAATCAAGAACAGAGATGAAGGAAAAACCTTGGAGAGGAAAAGGGACAACTCTGCAAAGTAAGTAAAGATGTCTGGCCCCAGAATGGGTAGGATTTCAGTGAGCTCGGAGTATAAAGGACTAAAGTTTAGGGAGTACATATGTAATTAATGGAAAGATACAAATTTTCCTTATAAGCAAAAAAGTAAATCTGAAATTGAAGGTACAAAAGGAAGTCACCATTTTCCAGACAAATTTGTTCATTTTCCTTTTGTTTATTCTTTAGGTACACAGCTATGTAGAATATTAATCTTGAACTCTTTCCCATCTTGACTCTTTAATACTTTTTGAGGCTAACACTGAAGTCCTGATTGAAAAGAGAGAAGTGGAAAAAAATTTCCAGTCCTTTAAAACTCTTTCTGGACCTCTATCTTAATGCAATTCAGTAGAAAGTTTAAAAATCATTGTATGCTTTCAGAGTGACATACAACGTGCTTTAGTGAACTCTTCCAAATGATTCTTTAGTGTTCCCACCATTTTTTATAAATATTTTTATACATTTGTTTATCTGCTTTTTTGTTTCTTTTTTGGTATTTTAGGGTTATGGTTTTCCAGTGAACCGACTTTTTGACCTTTTATTTGAAATAAGAGATCAATACAATGAAACACTGCTTAAGAAATGGGCTGGAGTTTTCAGGTTAGTCTAAGCCATGTGCCTTAATGTAGTGAATAAGTTTGTCAAATGCTCAATCAATTGATTTTGCATATAGCCCCCCAAAATGCTTATAATCAATTTCTAATATGGTAAAGTACACATAAAATTGACCATTTTAATCATTTTAAAATGTACAGGTCAGTGTTGTTAAGTATATTTACCTTGTTGCAACCATTGCCACCATCTATCTCTAGAAACTTTTTATTTTCTCAAACAGTAATTCTGTACCCACTAGACAATAACTCCCATTTCTTCTTTTCTCAGCTCCTGGCAGTACCACCATCCTCTAAAATTTCATTTATCTCTAAAATTTAACTGTTTTAGGTAACTCATGTAAGTGGAACCATACAATATTTGTCCTTTTGTGTCTGGATCATTTTACTTAGCATAATATCATGAAGGTTCATTCACAGTGAATATATTAATTAGAATTTCATTCCTTTTTAAGGCTGAATAATGTTCCATTGTTTCTTTTTACCACATGTTGTTTTTCCATTCACTTGTTGATGGACATTTAGGTTGTTTCTATTTTTTAGCTATTGTGAGTAATGCTATTGTGAACATTCCTATACATATATCTGTCTGAGTTCCTACTTTTAATCTTTTTGAGTTTATACCCAGGATACGGTAAATATATCATTTTTTGAGAAACTGCCATACTGTCTTCTATAGTGACTATACCATTTAGAATCAATTTTTAATTATACTTACTTTTAGTTCTAATATCTGTAATTTTTCAGCAAATAATTAGATACCTAAAAGTCTATGAATATTCAAAGGAATTTCATATATGAAACTGAAATTTATAGCCATTAAATTTGGTTTGGGGAAAATTTTTTTTTTTTTTAACAAATAACCTAAGTAGATTAAGAATTGTGGAGACTCTAAATAGGAAAATTGCCTTTACTATAACCACTTACCTGAAGACATGGATTAAAGTATTTTAATATCTGTGAGACTTTGCATTGCCATGAAAAGAGAACTCTGCCCTTGCTTTTACTTAAAGCTTTCCTCCCTCCCTCTTCCTACCTTCCTGTCTTCTCTCTTCCTTTTTACTTTGTTCCTCCTTTTCTCACTCTTTCCCTCCCTCTCTTTCTCTTTCAGAAAAAAAAGTTGATCTTGAGATCTTCTAGGTTGTCCAAAATATGATAAAAGTAATATGTCGATAATGTCTGATGATTTTAAATTAAAAATACCAGCTTAACACTTACCCCAACAGTTTGTAGGGAAATTAACCTTCCGAATTCTATAATAGAAATCTTATTAATTGGTGATACACATATTAAAATTATATTTACATTGTATCATATTTATAAGATGATACATTTATATTAAAATTAAAATAAACTAAATAGATTCTTATTTGAGCTTATTGTGTTAACATTTTTTAGGAGTAATACTGTCAAGATGATGTCTTGGTTGAAATAACTGACAATACTGAAAAGTCCATATTATTATCATCAATTTTTTATATTATTTAAGAGATAACAATAGTGCTTATTAATAGAGGCAGTTATCTATAACATATACTATGATATGATGTGATATAATATCTTTTTTTAATACCTTTATTTCATTTATTTATTTTTTGGTGCTAAGGATCGAACCCAGGGCCCTGCAAGTGCTAGGCGAGTGCTCTACCACTGAGCCACAACTCTAGCCCCATGATATAATATCTTTATACTTGTAAAATCTTAGAGTTGTTATTTATTTGGCCTCTTCAGAAGAAAGTTTGAGATTTTATAATTGTTGCTGGATTATATTGAGCCAGACATTCTCTTTTATCTATCTTAAGACTTCTAGCAGTGACATTACTCCCCCAAATTAAGGAAATCAGGAAGTACCTTTTCTTTGGAAAGCTAAGGAGTTCATTCAAATAGAGTTAAGATGAACTTTATTCTTCAAAGTAATAGTGGAGGAGAACAAATGATAGTTTACAGATTGTAATACATAATTCTCAACATCATTGTAGGTCACATTTTTTGCCTAAATTTTTTGGAAATAGTAAAGTTTTAGCTTGGCTTGATTTACCCTGATTTATATCTTCAAATATTTTACAAGTAGTGAATTGACAATCTAATAGTAAAATGGGGGAAAAAGTAAAAATTTTCATCAGTACTGAATAATTAAAACTCAACCATATCCATGGCAGAATTTATAATTTCACTACTAGTATACTTTATCTATATGTAGTTCTCTCTGACCACATTGTGAGTACCAATGTTTTATTAATTTTTTATACATTTTATATACCCATGCTTTTTATTTATTATTGTTATTATTTTTTTTTACAGAGAGAGAGAGAATTTTTTAATATCTATTTTCTAGTTTTCAGCGGACACAACATCTTTGTTTGTATTTGGTGCTGAGGATCGAACCCGGGCCGCACACATGTCAGGCGAGCGCGCTACCACTTGAGCCACATCCCCAGCCCTATTTATTATTATTATTATTATTATTATTACCAGTGATTGTATCGAGGGGCACTTAAACATTGAGCCCTTTCCCCAGCCCATTTTAATATTTTATTTTGAAACAGGGTCTTACTAAGTTGCTGAGGCTGACCTTGAACTTGCAATCTTCCTGCCTTAGCCTCTGAAGCTTCTGGAATTGCAGGTGTGTTCCACCACACCTGGCTATTTATTTATCATTCTTAGTTGACAAATAATAATTGTTTATATTTATGGAACATAATGTGATGTTTTAATAATATATTATTGATGATTAAATCAAACTAACATACCCATTGTATGTGTGTGTGTGTGTGTGTGTATTTTTGGTACCAGGAATTGAATCCAGGAGTGCTTAATCACTGAGCACATACCCAGCCCCTTTGTTTTATTTTTTCTTTTGAGATAGAGTCTTGTTTGCTAAGTTGCTTAGGGCCTTGATATGTTGCTGAGGCTGACTTTGCTCCTCCTGCCTCAGCCTCCTAAGCCACCATGCCCAGCTATACTCATCATCTTATATGCATACTTTTTTGTAGTGCAAGTATTTAAAATCTACTCTCTTAGCTGTTTGGAAACACACGCCACATACTTAATTATAGTCACCTTGCTGTGCAACAGATCTCAAAAACTTATTCTTCCTCTCTAACTGCAACTTCATACCCTTTGACCAACATCTCATCTCACCCCTTGTCTCTAGTAAAGAGGGGTAACCACCCTCCAGTAACTACCTATTCTATTCTCTACTTTTTATGAGTTTGGCTTTTTTAAGATTCTACAAGCAAGTGAGATCCTTAGTACTTGTCTTTCTTTGCCTGGTTTATCTCATTTATATCCTAAAAGTTTATTCATTTTATTGCAAGTGACAGAATTTCCTTTATTTTTAAGGTCAAATGGTTCCATTGTGTATATGTACCACATTTTCTTTCTTGCTGTTGAGTTCCTTTTATTTTTTTATATTAATCTCTTACCAGATTTATCAGATGTATATAAGCAACTATTTTCTCCTAATCTAAGTTGTTCCTTCACTCTTGTTTCCTGTGCTGTGCAGAAGCTTTTTAGTTTGATGTAGTCCCATTTGTCTACTTATGCTTTTGTTGTTTGTGCTTTTAAGATTATATCCAAAATATTATTGCCCAGACCAATGTTGTGGAGCTATTTATATATTCTTGATTACCTAGCCCTCATGCACTGTTTTGCACAGAATAGGCCCTCATTGTATGTTTGTAGAATTTGGTACTATAACTTTAGTCCTATAACTTGCTTTTTAATCTTTTTACTTTATTTTTAAACAATATTTAGAATGGAATAGAATAAATGGAAGCTTCTCACTATGTTTTAAGTGAACTATGCCTTACTTTGTGTGCCATCATGATTTACAAACCCGTGTCTATATTTCTATCCTGTTATTAAGACCTAAGAATAAATTTTTACCAACTGGACATCATCCACTACCCAAACCACACATTTCTCTATGTGCCTTATCTCAACAAAATGTCTCTGATGAGTTATGTATCATTTATTCATTTGCCCTCTCTAGAAACCAGATTTGTCATAAATATATTCTCTTTCACAATCCTATTTAATTTTAGGTCCTGTATATTCTACTTTTTTAAAAGCACTTGTTTATGCTACCTTTTTCTGCCTTCTCTACTATAGTTTTAAGTCAAACCCTCCTCACCTTTTATTTAGGTTATTCCTCAGTCTTTCTAACTGGTCTTTTTGTACTCATTATTGGCCTTTTTCCAATTTGTTCTCCCATATAGTAGCAATCTTCCTATGACATTCTCCTTCCTAAAACCTTTATTACCTCAAGGATAAAGTCTATGTACCTGAGTTTGTCAAGCTGCTCAACCTTGTCTTTCAACATATGCCTAATAAACTTTAGACTCCGGCAATATCTGAATACCTATTGTTTGACACCACCTGATATTTATACTTTTTCACTCTTTATGCCTTTGAACATATGTTCCTTCTGTCCCAAATGCTTTTCTCCCATAATCTCATCAGTAGTGTTTCTTTTCATCTTTCATCTACAGAGTCCATAGTTCTTCTGTAGAATTTTCCATGAGATATTCCTCCACCTGCTCTCATAGTTACTTCTTCCCTTGTCCTGTTTTTGATTCTTGTAACTATTATATGTAAAACATCTCATTATATACATAATTTGTATATCTGTCTCTTGTATTTGGTTCAAGGACAGGGATCTGGCTTTTTGTGGGGGAGTTGTGCTGGGGTTTGAACTCAGGGGCACTCAACCACTGAGCCACATCCTCAGCTGTATTTTGTATTTTATTTAGAGACAGAGTCTCACTGAGTTGCTTAATGCCTCACTTTTGCTGAGGCTAGCTTTGAACTTGCTATCTTCCTGCCTCAGCTTCCCGAACCATGGGGATTACAGATGTGCACCACCATGCCTGGCCAGGATCTTGCTTTTATCTTTATGAAGTAAGGAATTTTCATTACAGTTCAAAGCCTAGAATATACTAGGTATAGTAAATATTTAACCAAATTGTTGAATAAAAATAAGTTACTGGGGATGGGACTGTAGTTCAGTGGTAGAGCGCCTGCCTCGCACATGTGAGGCACTGGGTTCAGTCTTCAGCACCACATAAAAATAAATAAATAAAGATATTGTGTCCATCTACAAATATATATATATATATATATATATATATATATATATATATATATAATTAACAGCAGCAGCTACCTTAGGATAGGCTGTATTATGCTGCAGCTACAGAAAAGCAACAAAACCCCCCAAATCTCTACACAATTTCTTATTTATACTGAAGTCTACAGTGGGTTTAGTAATCAGAGATCCAAGCTATTTATATTTGTGATTCTGTCTCCTCAACGTATTGCTTCCCTTGTCACTATGGGGAGGAGGGTTACACAGTTGGCTCATAAATACTTTAGACTCAAAGTATCCCTTCCGTTCATAGCCAGTGACAACAACTAGTTATGTGGTCCTTCCTAACTGTAGGGGGGCTGTGTAGGGGAGCACATGAATAGGTGATCAGTAGTACATGTCTCTGTCTCACTAACTATAAAAGGTCCTTTATAATCACAACATTATGAGAGACTAAATAAATATAATATTTTGTTCATCAAGTGCTTGTGGTCTAGTTGGGAAGAGAGAAGGCACAAGACAATTTGAAAACTGTATCAAAAAATCTGATTGGTCTTGGGGTTCTGGCTAGTGGTAGAGCGCTTGTCTCACACATGTGAGGCACTGGTTTCAATTCTCACCACCCCATAAAAATTAATTAATTAAAGGTATTATGTTCCTCTACAACTGAAAATATTTTTAAAAATCTGATTTGAATATGCTTCATCTCGTGGATATGTTTTTAATGCCAATGATGAACTTCTTGTTCAGACTATATCTTAAGAATTGTTCTAGACTAGAAAACTAAAAGTACTGACAGGATATAACACATGAATTTTGAGAGACAAGACTTATATTGGATTTTAGAATTGTAGATGATTAGACAGTATTTTCCTATTTGGACTTGTAACTGACAAATAAAAAATGCTTTTGTTGTAGTTGGGCTCTTAAGATACTGTCTTATAATGCTTTAATGATATATTTTCTAATAATTTTTTAATTCTCCTTTCTTAACAGGGATATTTTTGAAGAAGATAATTATAGCCCCATCCCTATTGTCAGTGAAGAAGAATATAAAATAGTCACCAGCAAGTTTCCCTTTCAAGATTCAGACCTTGAGAAGGTATGAATTAGTTTTTAATTTAAGAATTAAAAAAAATAAATTCATGATCTGTATTATGACATAAAATTAACCTGATATTTTAAGTAAGAATGGCTTTTTGGAACAATTTTTTGGTTGTATTATTTGAGAAAATTTTTTATATTTTGTTAACTTTTAAAGATTATGCTATTATTCTACTATTTTGATGAAAAGAAGAAGGGCTTTCCTGGGGATGCTAGAAGGAAATGTTATCCCAAATGTTAGGTGGATTCTTATGGCAAGTACTTACGTTGAGTGAATTCCAAGTTATATATACTAAATGTTGAATGAATTATTTTAATAAGAATAAATTGAGAGAAAAGAGAATTTCTTTGAAATATTCAGCACTGTGGAAGATCTTATTGTGGCTTTTTAAAGGAAGTATAGTTCTATAAAAATTTTATCTTGGTTAAGTAAAAGATACATGGAGGCAATAGCTCCTTGCATATTTCCTCTGGAAGAAGGGATATATTTTTAGAGTCAAGATACCTAAATAAAAGACAGGGTAGAGAAAGGAAGTAGATCAATATGAGGGATATTCTGGGTTACACATGAGTGCATACACACACACACACACACACAATTACAATTATCCAGTGTTGCTGGAGAGACTCAAATCTTATGAGATTTGAATATGAATATGAATAGCATATTTCCTACAGCTGTCACCTATTTTATTTTCTTTATTTTTGTTTTTGCTTCTTCTTTTTTTTTTCAGTTCTTTATAAATTCAGTGCTTTCCTACTTTTTTTGTGTTTGGTACCAGGGTTTGAACCCAGGTGCACTTAACCACTGAGCCATATCCCCAGCCCTTTTTTTCTTTTGAGACAGGGCCTTGCTAAGTTGCTGATAATGGCTTTGAGCTTGTGATCTTCTTGACTCCTTCAGCCTCCTTATCTGCTGGGATTACAGGCATGCTCTGCTTATTTTCTATATCTTTATTGTCAGAATAAGCAAGACTGAATTCAGAGTGAATTGTGACTATAAATTTTTGTCATATTTTTATGTACAACTTAGTCATAAATGTGTAATAATCACTAAATATAGAAAAAAAACAATTAAATGCATAGCTTTTAGATTATAGCTAACATTGCTAAAAGATCAGAATAATTCTTCTAATTCTATATTTTTTAAAGTCCCAGAGTTGTCCCTGTGTCAAGAAACATTACTAGAATATTCTCCCTCTCATGGCTTGGTTTTGTTTTCTTTTGTTTGTAGTTACTGGTAAGGAGTTTTATTCAGACTATAGCATCTGTATCAAGAGCACTGAACCAGCCAGGTGTGGTGGTGCACACCTATAATCCAGTGACTCGAGAGGCTGAGACAGGAGGATAACAAGTTTGAGGCCAGTCTTAGCAACTTAGTGATGCCCTGTCTCAAAATAAAAATAAGCACAAGGGATATAACTTAGTGGTAAAGTACCCCTGGGTTAAATCCTCAATACCTACACCCACCTGCCATTGAAATAAAGCACTGAACCAGGCTGGATTCACACATTAGCTCTGCTTGTAGCTTACTATGGCCAAGTGACTTTTACCTTATTTGGGTATTAGAGCCTAATCTAATCTGTCAAATGAGGTAGAACTGAGTGATGTTTACTGTCCTTTCCAATTATGCTAAATAATTCTAAGTAGGTTTATAATTTAAAATAAAACTTTCTTGTTAGGAGCTTCCAATGTATTCATTTATTCCTTAGATTAAGCTCCTAATTTAGAAAAATCATTTCTGCATGTAGAAAGGCTGTAATTCTGTAGTGTAAAGTACAGTTGATGAAGTTTAGTAGATGAAGATCCAGAAATGTAATTGGAAGATGCCTGTAATCCTCGTGACTCAGGAAGATTGCAAGTTCGAGGCTAGCCTCAACAACTTAGTGAGACCCTGTCTCAAAATAAAACATAAAAAATGGCTGGGAATATAGCTCAGTGGTAAAGTGGCCCTGGGTTAGATCCTCTGTAGCCCCCCCAAAAAGAAAGAAAGAAATGTAATTGGAGAAATAGAAAGGGTCAGACCATAATAGCCCTTGTCAATAATGTTGGAGAGTTTAGCCTCAGAGGCAAGTCACCGAAAAGTTTTAAGCAGTAACAACACAATTAGATTTGTGCTTTAGCAATATCATTCTAGCTAACCTGTGATGATTGGAAAGAGTAAGACTGGTAGCAGGGAGTACAGCTAAGACATTTTTACAGTTATCCAATTGAGAGGGGTTGGTGACCTGAATAGGGCCTATGGTTGTGGAACCTGACTTAGGAGGTAGTTAGGAAGTTGAACAACAGAAGCTGCTGATGGTTATTTGCTTATGAGGGATAAGGAAAATAAAAGAAGTCAAGTATAATAACTAAATTTCTATCTTGAATAGTGGTGGCATTCACTATGATGGGAAACACAAAAGGAACAGGTTTTGAAAAAAAAAAAGAGATGATCATTTCACTTTTGGATCTATTGTGTCTGAAATAGTACAGCTAAATGGGAGTGTCCAGTAGGTAGTTAGATATACAGATTTGAACATTAAGAGAAAGATTCAATCTAGAATTGTAGATTTGGGAAATACTGACATTTACATGGTCATTGAAATCATGGGAGTATGAGATCATGCAAAGTATACAAGTATTATGGATACAAAGTAGTAAGCTATTAGATTTTTTTCTGTACAATGCTTATCATCAGAACACAAAGAGGTATTGATATGTGCTGTCTCTGCTTGTTGGAAGTATACTAAAATGATTTTAAATATAAGATTAAATTGCTGCAGTTTTTTCAGAATTATTTTGGATTTCTTTAAAATATAAAAAATAAAGTAGAAAAGCAGCAGTAGAATTTATGTAATTATTTACTATTAATTCAAATATGAGGTCAATTTAATTTTTATATTTTGTAATGATTAGAATGACTTTTTCAAAATTTTCTAAAACAATATTTACTTTCTCTTTCTACAGCAATCTTTCCCAAAAAAATTCCCCATGTCTCAGTCAGTGCCTCATATATACATTCAAGTTAAAGAATTTATTTATGCCAGCCTTAAATTTTCAGAATCGCTGCACCGGAGGTAAGCTTACTAATAAGAAATGTGTCTTTATCATACTGTTTTTATGAATCATTAACATTTAGTTTTCATACCATGACTCTTTAATGAATTATTCTCTCATCAAAAAAGTTTACATATTTTATTTAGTTATATTTAGGGTTTAGTTGATATAAATCTAATATTGTATTTTTAACTTTTAATTATGTAAATCTTCAAAGTACATAAAAGTAAAAATAATTTATAGGAAACTTCTGTGTTCTCAGCATCTAAATTTAACAGTAATAAAAATTTTGTCATATATTCTTTTTTTTGCAGTGATGGGGATTGAACCTAGGGCCTTGCTCATGCTGGATCAATACTCTGCCCCTGAGCAACATCCCCAGCCTTTGCCATATCTTCTTCTTTTTTTTTTTTTGCTGATATATTTGCAAGCAAATTCCTAATATAATGATCTTTTATCCCTGAATACTTCAATATGTGTTTCTATAAACAATGAGGACATTTCATTAGTTAACAAAATGTAACAAAATTAATATGATTCCATAGTATCAGTTTCCTAGTATATGTCAATGTTGTCTTGATTGTCTTGATTATCTTGATTGTCTTTTTCAATGGGTCCAAACAAGGTTCACACCTTGCATTCATGATTCAATTTGTTTCATGATGTTCCCTTTTTATCTGTGACATTGACTGCCTTGTTGGAGATCTGATATCATTAAGCTTGTTTTTTTTCTCAGATAGGTTTAAAGTGAGGATTCAGACAAAATCAATAGAATAAGTAAAGAATGTTGTAGCAAGTTGATACACTCAATAATGGAGAGCAGCACAACTATTGGTAGTAATAGCCAATTTAATTTTATAGGCAAGAAGTGTCATTTATCTGATATGATGAAAATAATATTCTATGTTTATGGAAATGGGAAATGTGATATTATTCCTTTTTGCTGATAAGGAAACCGAGGCTCAGAAAGGCTAAATCAATAATTCAGAATGATCATGCTCATTAGGTTGAGAGCTGGGATGAAGAGCAGGTCTTCTGATTCACGTCTGTAAAAATGTCTGGCACAATAAAAAAGGTTCAGTTAATGGAAGCAAAGCATTAATCTTTATGCTACATCCAGTTATCTAGAAAGATCCTGCATTCTAGTCAGGTGATACATTTCTGATTGTGAACACTCTGGAACACATGAAGTGGTAATTCTTGCTTTCATGTTTACTCTGAAATTCATTCTTCTGAATTTATATATGGAATAGCAGGAGATATTCTTTTTCAGGGAAACTCAAAATTTTAAATCACAAAAAGGCAGTTCATATGTTATAATTGTTTTTCAAGCAGAAATTTTTTGTATCTGTTTCTTATCATAAAGTACTACTATTTTGGATTTAAACAAGATAAAAATAAATGGAAAAAGAAATGTGTTCTGCCAGTGTGAATGAGTATCTGATTTAAAGTCTTACATTGTTCTTTCTTTGTGAGTAGTGATTCTTTGAAAGATTTTGTAATTCCTGTTTATGAGTCTTATAAGAATAGGAGAAGAAAGGAAGGCAAATGTCTAACAAATAGCATTTGTTGTGCTATGTGATTCCCATTAGCCAGCAGTTCTCAAGTAGTTGCCAGACCAGTAACATTAGTATCACAGAGGAAATAATTAGAAATACTACCTCAGACTTCCTAAATTAGAAACTGAGGGTGAGTTCCAAGGTTTTACCAACTTCTCTGAGTGACTCTGTTGTATAGCAAAATTTTTTAAAAAATCACTGCTTAAGCTTCATCATACTTTACCAACCACTTACACCAAAGTTTCTAAAGACACTAACTTTAGCTTTAGATACTAGAGGTTATATAGCATAACATATCACACACACCATCATATAGCCTTTGAAAAAGGTAGTGAATATAAGTTGAGTATTACCTGAAAAGGAATAACATAAGAGTAAGTCTGATTACAATGGTAAGTTTTTCTAGTGGATATATCAGAGCCATCAACAATTTATTCCTATCCTGTTTTTCATTTAACATTCTGTTCTAAACAGAAGCTATGCAGTGCTTAATAACATAAGCTTTAGTTTGAGTCTTGATGCTAACAAGTAAATTCATCTCCTTAAACTGCAGTTTCCTCATCTGTCAAATGAGGAAAATAATTTGTAGTAAGAATGAAAGGAGGTAGTGCATGTGCAATAAAGCACCGAGTACAATACCTAGCACATGGTAGGCTCACAGAGCTTAGGAGAGCATGGGATGCTAGATGTGAGACTGGAGCTTGGAGTGTTTATATTTTATTTTAAAAGTGTTGGGGAACTATTGAAGAATGTTTAAGGTGTGACATGATTGGAATTATTTTTTCAAAAGTTTACCTCTGGCTCAACACGGATGGTAGATTGGAGAAGGATAACAAAAAGTATCATGTTAAGGAAGTGAAGTCAGTGGCTCAAGAAAGAGATGAAAAATGACTGAAATAGGATCAATGGTTACAAAGAGAAAGGAACATATACAAGAAGTGTCAGGAGCCTGAAATAGGAGTACTTGTGAATAAAGGGATGGAGGATAATTTGACTTATATTTCAGTGGATTTGAATTTGTTTATATACTCTCTAATAACTAACTATAACTGAAATCTCTATTATCTTTAAGTTTTTAAAGATGGGGATAGGGGCTGGGGATGTGGCTCAAGCGGTAGCGCGCTCACCAGTCATGCGTGCGGCCCGGGTTCAATCCTCAGCACCACATACAAACAAAGATGTTGTGTACGCCAAAAACTGAAAAATAAATATTGAAATTCTCTCTCTCTCTCTCTCTCTCTCTCTCTCTCTCTCTCTCTCTCTCTCTCTAAAAAAAAAAAAAAAGATGGGGATATATTCATCTTTTTTTAGGTGAACAAATGCTAGTGAAAGGGAAAAACAAAAAGTATCTCTTTAGCACTCATCTTACAACTTGACTCAAATAGAGTAAAATTGAGAATTATTCTTGAAGTGGGGAGATCCTGGGATTAAACCTAGGACATTGTGCATGTTAAAGGATGTGCTGGCTCATCCCTGGTCTTGAGAATTATTCTTGAAACTGCAATCCTAATCTATAGCATTAGTTCCCTTTATCTTTTCCTTTAAATATAATTACTTTAAACTTGTTGTGTGGACAATTTGAATGTTCTAACATGTACTTGTTATTACCTACTCTAATGTGGATTCTTGAAACACAATACTCATACCTGATTAAGATATTATTAAATTTGTAGAGCTAAGCATGGTGGCTCATGCCATTAATCCCAGCAGCTTGGGAGGCTTGAGACAGGAGGACAGTGAGTTCAAAGCTAGTCTCAGCAATTTATCAAGGCTCTAAACAATTAGTGAGACTTTGGCCCTAAATAAAATATAAAAAAGGGCTGGGATGTAGCTCAGTGGCTAAGCGCCCCTGGTTTAATCGCCAGTACCAAAACCAAACCAAACCAAAACAAACAAAAAACCACTTGTAGAAAGCATAGAAATATAGCATTTTGGAATTATTATTTTTTTATTTACAGAGGAGTTATAGTGGCTTTCTAATAATTATGATTTTATTTTTAAACTGAATTTATAATACCAAAGATAAAAGTTATTAATCATATTATTATGTATAATCTTCCCTAAAACCTAATGTCCGAATATAAAACTAGAACATCAGTTCCAACTCCTTTTATATATGAAGTTTAAAAGGCAAAGATTGTGTGCTAATGCTACGACTGAAAAGGCTACAATATTCTCCTTCTCTCTTTGACAAAAATATCTAATTTTGTTAGATTGATTCTGATCATTTTTGGGGCTGTGGGGATACCAGATATTGAACTCAGGAGCATTTGGCCACTGAGCCACATCCCCAGCCCTATTTTGTATTTTATTTAGAGATAGGGTCTCATTGAGTTGTTTAGTGCCTCACTTTTGCTGAGGCTGGCTTTGAACTTGCAATCTTCCTGCCTCAGCCTCCTGAGCCACTGGTATTACATATGTGTGCCACTGTGCCTGGCGTTCTGCTCATTTTAATAAGCTGTGATCATTATCTATTCAAGAAAGTATTTATGCTGACATTTTTAAAAAATTATGCTTTGCCAAATACACTCACTATTCTAATTTTGTTACTAAGAGGAAAAAGAAATTCAGAATATGGGGCTGAGATGTAGCTTAGTGGTAGAGTGTTTGCTTAGCATGTGAAGACTCTGGGTTTAATCCCCGCTACTACAAAAAAGAAAAAAAATTGGGATATGAAGAAACAGACAATGATTAATTAAAAGATATGTAAATCTAAATTTACTCTAGATTATCGGTTCTTTGACATTTTTATTTTTAAACTCTACATACATAACCTAAAATTGAGCTTTAAGAGTTGTTATGTTTTTTGTCATTAAAGAGTTATGGAAGCCAGGCACAGTGGTATATACCTCTAATCCCGGTGATTTGGGAGGCTGAGGCAGGAAAATTGCATGTTTTGAGGCTAGCCTGGGCAATCTTATTGAGATCTTGTTTCAGAACAAGAAAATAAAATGGACTGGAAATGTAGCTCAGTGGTAAAGCATCCCTAGGTTCAATCCCTAATACAAAAAAAAAAAGTTATGGATAAAAAAAAATCATGTCTGTGTTTAAAGCTCATATTTTATTTTTGTTTAAACATATTTTGGAGTTAAGATTTTTTAAATAAGAAGTATTTTATAGCTTTTATAGTATGAATGTTTTTATTTATGAATAAAAGTAGTGTCAGAGAATTAAATGACTTCATAAAAGACTCCAAAGTTTCATGATAATTTGGTTGTAGAGGAATAATATAAGATTTGAATGTTGTCTTTAAGCATTTTTTTTAGTCCTCATAAGAAATTAAGCTGTAAGATATTTAGGAGAGTTATTGCATATTAAATTTAATTATTGTGAAGTGTTCTTTAAAATTTAGGAAGAGTATAAGTTATAGGTTCAAAGGGCAAGGACTTAAGGAAAAAATTGCTCAGTTGATATTAAAAACTACATGGGGGGAATACTAGTCATAAGGTAAATCTTGCTGGCCCAAATAGGACACAGGTGCTGATAGGTTTTCTTTCTCTGGTTTATGAAGAAACCAGACTCAGCATTCAAGGATGTATAGGGAAATTAAACAAAAGATATTATCTGTAAATGATAACTTTCACATGAAAAAGATGCTATGCAGTGTGTCTTTAAGCACAATTTCAGTGTATCTGAAAAACCAGAGGAGTTGTCAACCACCTTTCTTTTATTAGGGTGAATAATTGGCTTGTTCAAGGGATACTATTGATCAATTAAAACATTTTCTGTCTTGAATGTTTGATACCAAGTAACCCTGAAGCCCTGCTCATTTCTGGAGAAGTCTTGATTCTATATTTTAAAACAAATCAGAGAGAAATAGCCTCCTTGGGCCTACTAGAATTAGGGTTAGCAGAAATAGTACAGTCCCTGCACTGGAGCTGGGGTGGAAGCAGTGTTAGAGCAGGGGCTTAGCAAGCACAAAGCTCTTGGTTGGACCCCAGCACCAAAAACTAAATAAACTAAACAGAAAAGGACCTGCATTAAAATAGAGAACATTAGAACAGTAGCAGGAAGTGTTCATGTTTGGTCAAATGTTGCTTTATTTGCATCTTTAAAAATAAATGTAGGGGGCTGGGGATGTGGCTCAAGTGGTAGCGCACTCGCCTGGTGTGCGTGCGGCCCGGGCTCGATCCTCAGCACCACATACAAAGATGTTGTGTCCGCCGGAAAAAAAAATATATTAAAATTTTCTCTCTCTCTCTCTCTCTCTTAAAAAAAAAATAAATAAATATAGGGGCTGGGGGTTATAGCTCAGTGATATAGCCCTTGCCTTGCACACGTGAGGCACTGGGTTCAATCCTCAGCACCACATAAAAATAAATAAATAAAGTAAAGATATTGTGTCCATCTTTTAAAAAACTTTAAAAATGTAATAAATATTTGTGCTTTATATAGTTTTAGAAATGTTATTTTAATACAGTAAAAAATAAAAGGAGATGACTTGGGAGGTTAAGACAGAAGGATCACAAATTCAAGGCCAACCTCAGCAACTTATCGAAGCCATAAGCAACTTAGTGAGACCCTGTCTCAAAAAATAAAAAGGACTAGGGAGTAGGTCAGTGGTAAGGTGCCCCTGGGCAATACCAAAAAAATTTTTAAAAAAGTAAAAGGTGTAAGGCAGTTGTTCTAAACGGAGAATAATTTTGGCCTCCTCCCTGCTGCCACCCACCTCTCTACCTTTGGCAATGTCTAGAAATATTTTTGGTTGTTACAATTTCGGGGAGGGGTGCTACATGGAACTAGTAGGTGGAGACCAGAAATACTGCTAAACATCTTACAATTCACAGAATGGGCCCCCCAGCACAGAATTATTCAGTCTAAAATGTTAATGGTGCTGAGATTGAGAATCCCAAGAAATTATTATTCGGTTGAAGGCCTAGTGGTGAGGAGGAAAGCATAAGAATAGTGCCAGCTTAACAATCTTTAGGATGTTCAGAAGCATCATAGGTTTTTTTACACTAAATTGAAATTAGTTTAAAATATAAGTGTCTTCAAAAATCTCAATGGAAATGGATAGCTTAATTATTTTAAAATTTAAATCTGAAAATTTATATCTAAGAAAAGTTCACATCAATGTGTGTTAAAAAAGTAATTTTTAGCTGTAGTTATATATGAAGTGTCTTGCAAAGTGACTGTAGAATGTAGTTGTAATTTAAGAATAGTTTTATTTCCTTGTACTAAGTACCTCATGATTTTTCTGTAGTGATTGATTTGATGAATTTAAATTATTGCCATAAAAGAATATTCTGCTTTGTGAATTTATGAAATTGAATTGAAGTTTGTGATTTAGTAAGTATGAGTTATTATAATTCATTTAAAGATAAGAAAGAATGGATTAGAACAAATTATTTTAACAAATAATATTAAATTATTTAGAATGTTAACTAACTATACCCTTGGAAAGTTTAATAATATCAACCTTTCTTTTTAGTTCAACAGAAATAGATGATATGCTTAGAAAATCAACAAATCTGCTGCTGACCAGAACTTTGAGTAGCTGTTTACTGAACCTTATTAGAAAGCCTCATATAGGTTTGACAGAGGTAGGTTAAGAAGACACATACAACCAAATAGTTTTTTATTTGAAAAAATTTATAGATTATTGATGAACATCATAATATAAAACTGGCTTGGTGTTTTATTTATTTGTTCTTTCTTAGATATACATGACTGTAGAGAGCATTTTGACATATTATACATACATGGAGAATAATTTATTTTAATTAGGATCTCATTATTGTGGTTGTACTTGATAATGGAGTTTCACTGGTCATGTATGTATATATGAACATAGGAAAGTTATGTCAGATTCATTCTACTGTCTTTTCTAACCCCATCCTCTCTCCCTTCCCTTCATTCCCTTGTATCTAATCCAATGTGCATCTTCTCATGTTTTCATTTATTTACACCAGAAATAAAGGAAATGTGAGAAAATGCATTTAAATATCTCATTGCCAGTCTTTACATGGAGGATCAAAATCCTCAATCCTCATTTTTTTTTTACTTATTTAATGTATGAGATTGGAAAAGTACTATGGAAAGTTATTTTAAAATTATTGGCAGTTGGATTCTTGGTGTATCCATATATATTTTTTAATGATGTTAGCAGTATTTGCATCAGGCTTTTAACATCAGATAATCAGTTGTTTCCTGTGTTGCTATAATTATGCAGAAATGGTACAGTGTTTGGAAGTAATAATGCTGTTTTTAAAAATCAGATAGTTTTGTATATGTGTAAATTACATTTTACTGTATATATTTTGTGTTTTCTAGCTAGTGCAAATCATCATAAACACAACACACCTGGAACAAGCTTGTAAATACCTTGAGGACTTTATAACTAACATTACAAATATTTCTCAAGAAACTGTTCATACCACAAGACTTTATGGACTTTCTACTTTTAAGGTATATAAAATCTGACCAAAGTTTTCTTTTCAATTACTGTAGCAAAATTAGGTAATTAAAGACAATTTTTGTGTGTGATTTCATTGTATTTCTAAATATTGAGAATTAGAGCTAATTATTGTCAACAAGCAGATAAATGTCAGTTCCTTTTTGGCATTTTAAATATTAATAAAACATTTTAAACTTCAATAAAAGTGGAGAGAAACATTGATTTTCTACAATGTATTACATTTTGTTTATGTTTTGAAAACAAATGATAAGGTTGAATTAGGCTAGCTGAATTTTAGAGTTCAATAATTAATTTTACATGTGTGTGTGTTTGGCAATGAAAAATATGAGATAAATAAGTGTGAGATTTGCTTTTCATCCCTTATTGACTCTATACTGAAGAAAAAAATATGTCACAGAAGTTCTTTTTTCTGGATGAAAAGATTTATACTTGTATAGTAGCAGGGGATATACTGAAAGATGAATTGATGGTTGTTTTCAGCAGAGTGCAAGATTCAATAATTTTATGTTTTTTTTTTTTGATTTGGAAACACAAATGATACATTGGAATAGGCTAGCATTGTAAATTTCCTTGTAAGTAATATTTTATTAAATTAATTATAAACCACTTACTGATCCCTTCTAACTTTAAAAATCCAAAAGAATTTTTATCTTCCTACTTTCTCTATATTATAAATTATTCAATTTATCTCCTAAAATTATATTGTAATAATTTATTTTTAAAATTAAGTGCACTTGTATTTAGATATTAACTTAATGTTAATATTTACTCTGACTTTGAATGTGCAAAGCCCAGAAACAACTGTGAGCTCCTAAAATTTTCTATTTGGTCCCTAAATCTTATGCTTCCCCGATGACTCTTAAGCTCATGTTGTCAGCCTGATACAGAAGACAAATTCAGAATGGCATCTGTGTCAGTGGATTTATAAAATTAGAATTGAGACAGAACGATGTGAAAAAGCAGGCATTCATTTATTCAATAATATAATGTAGTGATTAAGAGTATATACTCTGGAGTAGACTGCTATGTGACCTGTGCAAGTTTTTTAACCTTAATGATTACAAATTTCTTCATCTGTAAAATCAGAGTAACAATATACTATATACCTCATATGAGGTTATAAAGATTAAAGGAGATAGCACAGAGCAATTCATTGTTTATCAGTTATGCTCTGAGCTCTCTATTAGGCCCCAAGTATACAAATATCTGTCACTTCCCTCAAGAAGCTCACAGGAAGAAAAAAACTGTAAAAGATACGTAACAGTATCACTTAAGTATTATAAGGGGGGAGTACAATTTTGGACCTTTATTTATCCAAAGATGCATTGATCTTCAGCTTTTTTCTTTCTTTTTTCCTTCTTTATGGTACTGGGGATTCAACCCAAGGGTGCTCTACCACTGAGCTATATCCCCAGTTCTTTCTTTCTTTTCTTTTTTTTTTTTTTTAATTTTGAGACAGTGTCTCATTAAATTGCCCAGACTGGCCTTGAACTTGTGATCCTCTTGCCTCAGCTTCACTAGTGTCTACGATTCCAGATGTGTGCCACTGCCTTCAGAAATCCTTAGCTTTTATATTAGATTTTTTTAATAATCTCTCTCTTAATTGTTCTTTCTGTTCTTATATTCATGTATGCTTCAGTCCCTGACAAGAGGGGATTTACTTAGGCTTAGAGTTGTAAGCCTAATTAACTGCTCACATTAAATTTCATCTGCTTACTCAGTACTCTGAATAAAATATAAATACCTTGGTGTTTCTAGGAATTTTCAAGCAATTGTTTATTATCAGTTAGAATCAAAGATGCTGGAACATGGTGCTCTTATATTGAGGGATCTTGAAACTGTTCCTCAAAATCTGTCTGTAGGGAGAGAATTTTAGAAATATTAGCTCTGGTTCACCACTCCATAGTTGTAGATATTTAGTTGAAACACCAACTACCATCATATACCCTTAGGTGGGTTTCCTTGGAAATCAGAAATCAAGTTCTGCCACTACAAATAGCATAGCTTCCTCATTTTTTGTTATTCTTTGTTTTGTTTTCACTTAGAGCTTAGTAAATATTTCTTTGTTTCATCCTATGTTTCATAATATAACAAGAGCTGTTTTGTGCTCATTATTGGAAAATCAAGTATTTGGTTCTACCTTTTGATCTATTTCAAGAGGAATTTGTCTTGAATTGTGATATGAAGAAGTGGTTCAGCAGGGAGAATTGTTAACTCAATGTTAGAGTGAATTACTCAGGGACATTGGGGAATTTCCATTCATATTGAATAGTCAATGTGTTGCCTATTCCACAGAGATGATTGAGGTACAGTCTTAGTTATGGATATTAGATTGAATTGCTTAGTTAACCTCTTAGCCTAATTCTTTTCAATCCAATAACCCTACAAAACATTCTTGTTTGGTTTCTTAAGGGTCATGGAAACAAGCACTTTCAAGATTCCTTTACCATACCTCTATTTTTTTTCTTCCAAAATGCACATATGCATGCATATGATATATGTGCTCATGTATGTCATCTGTTTATTTTATGAATTATTATAGATTTTCTTATTAGCTTACCTTTTACTTTGCTGAATCTGTGAGTGGTGTTAGAGGTACAACAGTAGTTACTACCCTAAAACAGTACTTCAACTTATTGAAATTAACTTGGACCCACACAGAGCCACTTAAAAATCATGTAAGAGTTACGCTTACTGAAAAAATTAGCATCAAGACAGAGGGATGAAATGGGAATATCATTTCCTTTTTGGTTTATGATGTAGAGGAATGATCCCAGTTCTCTCTCTTTGGCACCAGGGATCTTTTAACTTGGTTCCATGGAACTTTTCTAGTCTGTCACCCTGAAGAGTTTCTTTCTGAGTCCTGGTAGTGATTGCAACTGTAAGTCAATCAAAATAATATGGCATAATGAAAAAATGTGTTGAAAAGTAGCCAAGTGAATTAGTGCTCCTTTACTAATTTAATTAGAAGCATAAAGAGGCAAATCTTTCTTTCATTTTAAAGTTGATGTTAGGTACCAAATATAAGAATAAAGTAACTTTTCTTGATTGTCAAACTGGTATCTAAAGCATCTAATGAAATTAGCTATTTATTTTTTAAAACTATGATTCCTTAAATTGGCTTATCCTCCTGTCCATCTTACTCACTATTATACTCCTTCCCCCATCATGACTAAATATTAGGCTTGTTGTATTGTCTTATCTGGTTTTCCCCTGTTTTGTCAATACTGACATTAAGATAATGATTTGGATGCTGTGTGTGGTATAATTAACATTTAGAAATTTCTGGATCAAAATTATGGCTTACTATAACATTGTTTTTTGAAGAAAAGCAGGAAAAAATTAACTAGGGAAAATAGTCTTGTGACAGTTCCAGTGCCATCTACTACTTAGATTTTTAAGGCCCCAAAAAGGTTATTGAACTGTTGTTTGCCTTATTCTAAATGAGTAAAATTAAACATAACCTTTTTTTCCCCTTAGATACTCAATAAAATGTTCAAATAGGATACTTGTAATAGAGCTACTAAGAAAAAATTTGATAGAAACTAACAGAAAAATCAACTAAAACTTTCTTAAACAATAATGGGGCCTGGTGGAGTGACATGCTCCTAAAGCCACTGAGCAACATAATGGCACTCCATCTTGAAACACAAACAAAAACAACCAACTAAACAAAAAACTGCAATAATTTTTTGCCAGAGTAACTGAAAAGTCCAAAGACAGGGCAGATTTCAGGTGAGGCTGAAGCCTGCTGCTCAGGATATATCACCAAGGACCCAGAGTCTCTCCTTTATTTAGCTCTACTTTATGCAATTTTGACCTCATTTTCAGACACCATGTGATGACCCAGTACCTGTAGGTGCTCTCCTGGTAGCAGAATGGTTGCCTGGTCCCAGTTCCAAACCTCACATTTTCATGCCTTATCATCTGAAGAGAGAGACAATGTTTCTTTCACTAGCTGCTGTGGAGTTCCCTGTGTAAGAGGATGGAAACTGCTAATTTTCTTATACTCATCAAGATTCATCCTTGGAGCCAGTTAGGTTCAGTCCTGCCTGAACCATATATCTGTGAATGTTTTCCAAAACATGTTTGAAGACTGCTCCAAAAGGGAGAATAAATGACAAACAGAAAATTATAGATGTGTATTTCTACTTAGCTTTCATTCAAAACACACATGCTTATGGATTAGGAGGTACAGATGGAGTTTATACATGTTTTAAAAATCCTTCTGGGATAGTTCTGCTGTGCACCAATGGTTGAAAACTACTGATAGTATGACCTCATTTAATTTTTATACATTGCAATAAAAAATAGTTCTCAAATTCTGCTTAATACATTTCTGCCTCCAGAGGGCACTGTTTCTTTAACAAACAAAGGAAGAATGAATGAATTTGTTTATAAGCTGAATGTTTTTAAATTTTATGTAAGATTTAAATAAAAGATTTAAACTGACCTTCATAAGATCACTTCATGCAGTATCAAGGTCATATATGTTTCCTAATGATTGTATTTGGATTACAAAATAAGTAAAACTTTTAGTCATTAGAAAGTTTCTTTCAAATGTTGTCTTAAAATGTGTCCCTGCTCAGAACTTCTGTCTGAATTTTTCTTTCACATAGCATAGCCACTAACTTCCTGATTTAGATTTCTTAGCTTTCTTTTATAGTTTATGGACTATAATAAACTTCTTAAAATATTAAATACTTCTCCTTCCAATTTAAAAAAAAATCTTGAAAAAAGTTGGTTTGAACCTAAATAGTTTATAGGGAAAGTAGAACCTACCCTTGGTGTTACCTCAGAAAAGTAAACTAAACACCAAAGTTCTTGACAGTAACAACAATGAAAATAATAAATTTTTATATTTTCACTTTATTGTTGCTTAGTTTCTTTTCTTTTTTCTTTTTTGTGAATCACTCTATCATGAAACATGAAGTCTAGAAAGCACGCACGCAATTGTAATGACTATAATGTGAATGACTTTATTGTCATCATTTTAATAATTTTTCTTTTTTCAGATAAAAAACTGTTTTGTTTTTCCTCATGGCTTCAAATTTTGTAGATATTTTCTCACTCTTTCAATTTTTGGTTAGCATTTTAGTTGTCCCATATTACTTTTTAAAAATTCAGGAAAATATTAGTTAATACTTTCTTTATTTTAATAACACTGTGTATAGTAAAAGAGGGTATTAAATATACCATTGATTTTAAAAGTGAATTTAAATTAGAATCTTTAAAGAATTTCCATTTTATAAAAATCAAAAGCTATAAATCCATAAATTTAGAGGAAAGGAGTCTCTTGAAACTGGCTTAATATTTTGTTAGGGGTGGGGGATATAGTTAGCGGCACAACACTTGCCTAGCATGTGTGAGGTCCTAGGTTCAATCCCTAGCACTATAATAGACAAACAAACAAATAAATAAATAAATTTTTTTTTTTGGTTAAGAATTTTCTTTTCTTGCCTACATAAGAGGCTTCCCAGAAAAGCAAGAGAAATCATAAATACAGTCTGAATGTATATAGGAAATTTAACAGAAGATAGAAACAATCAGTCTCTCAATTTTCTTTGCCTTATAATAGAAATGTTGAATACGGGATGATTATACAACACTGAGCTTTAGGTCTCTTTTATCTGAGTGGTGTGTGGGATTGTTGTTTAGCTTCACTTCTGTTGTGACCTATATTAATCCATTTAGATTCAACAAAGACAGTGAGTCATGAAAAAGGACTAATTATGAATGTTGGGGCAAAATGGAAAGTGATAAATGAGCATTTTTTAAAATATATGGCTTCAAGAAATTGACTTACAAGTGGTATTAAGATGTGTTATGGTATAGTTCTGTAGGTTATAAGCATTTGTCATCTTAATTACCTTTCCCTGATGTTGTTAGGGAAGTTGAAGAGAGATGTGAATTACTGCTATTGATAATACTTATTATCTATGATCCCATTAGCTAGTTGCTAGTGTTTCACATTTAAAAAAATCTTTCTGTGAATGTTCAATATTCATTTTTTTCTCCACTACATGCAAATAACTTTTGTAAGTTAAGTTAACTTGGGCAATTTGGAAGGCTTGAAATGCTGATATATTAATCATCTTTATGCAGTTCACTTAATATACATTTATTGACCATTACTAGCTACCTAACACTAGTAGGTGTAAGGAAACTAATCATGTTTTTAAATGATAGGTGCCTAGTACGGTTACTTTGAATTAATGATAGAAGCTTGTATAGTGTCCTGTGAGATAGGGATGATTGTTACTTCCTTTGAAATAATAATAATCCAAGGATCTACAAAAGTTATTTTGCGCAAGATGTAAAGATATAGTGGGACACAAACCCCTTCCCATTTTTCTCAAATCCCTTTCCACTTTTTCTGTTAAGTAAATTAAAATACTGGCCCATATTCTTTAAGTACATTAAAGAAAACTTTATGGTCCATTTCTTCATTATTTATTATTAGCAAGGATGACAATTTTTTAAATGGCCACAAATTCTTAACACTTCTTTCATTGAGCAGTGTGTGTGTGTGTGGTGGGGGGGTCTATGTCCCTCCTTCCTGATATGGGTAGACTTGTGATTGCTTTGATCACAAGTCAACTAGCACAGTGAAAGCAGTGTAACTTCCGCTTTACTCCAAGCATGTGGGCATGGACCCTGAGCTGCCATTTCATGAGGAAGCCAAGCCATATGGAGAAATTACCTATACCAGGTGCCAGACATATGAGTGGGGGGCCTCCAGAATGATTCTAACTCTTCATTGTTGAATATTATTCCCAGACTCAAGTTGTTCCAGCTGAATCCCAGTTATTATAGAGTAAAATCATCTCCCACCCCTAGAACCTGAGAACATAATAAAATGCTTTTTTCAAACATTAAGTTTTGGGGTAGTTTATTATTCAGCAGTAGTAATTAGAATAGCAACTGATATAAACACTTCTCCCTAGGTTCCTATTTTTGCATATCATCTGGTAGCTTTTCTTCCATGACACCTTTTTTTCCAGCCTAAATGATCTCTTCTTTCTTGCTATACTTTCACTATACATGTAGTCAATACTGATTTATTCATATTTATTTATTCATTCTGTGAGTATTTTACATGTGATTCTTTTCTATTCCAAATAGATTATAAACTTCTTCAACATTTTCATTTAATAAGTACTTAGCTGCTATCTACTATACATCAAGTTCTGTTCTAGGTGCTGGGGATACATTGTTGAACAAAAATAGGCACAAATTTCTGCCTTAATTGAACTCACTTATTTTTGTATAACTTATTCCTGCATTGCTCAGAGTGCTGCACGTATAGTGACTGATAAATTATTATTGATAAACACTAGTTTTTAGCTTCTCAAGATTTCTATGAGATGAGGTTAGAAATTTTAATGAAGAGAGACTAAAAGCATAAGTTACTATAAATAACTATTTTGAGTCACCTCATTTTGCTACTATCATATTTAGTAGTTCTTCATAACAGTTTCTGCTAATGTCATGAACATTAACTTATCTTAAATTCCTTTTTTATTTAAAGTGGTATTTATCTTTACTTTCTTCTATAGCTGAGGAGAGGCACTGTTGAAGGTTTTTATTGTTTATGTGAAATTGGTATTAGATCTTTGAGTAGAAAGAAGAAAAATCCTTCTTGGAATTCCTGTTCCAGTTCTACTGTGAAGCTAAACATGCAGATGGAAAGATATCTACTGGTAGTTGGTTTTTCTCAGCAGGGGGTGGCAGTGAGTAGTAAGTGATTAGACAGTATGAAAATTGGACTAGGAACAAAAAAGTGTTACAATGTGAAGATGATACATTTTGATCATTCATATTTACTTCCTGTATGCTCTTTTTTCTTTTTGGTACTGGGGGTTGAACTCAGGGGCACTCAACCACTGAGCCATATCCCCAGCCCTATTTTGTGTTTTATTTAGAGACAGAATCTCACTGAGTTGCTTATTAGTGCCTTGCTTTTGCTATGGGATTACAGGCATATACCACCATGCCCGGCTACTTTCTCATATACACTTTAGAAAAAAAAATTTAAGGCACTCAAACCAAAAATACCTTTGAGCATTATGTTTTTTAAATATTTTCTTAGTTGTAGGTGGACACAGTATCTTTATTTTATTTATTTATTTTTATGTGGTGCTGAGGATCGAACCTAGTACCTCTCACATGTGAGGCAAGCACTCTACCACTGAGCTACATGCTAAGCCCATCCTGATTGTATTTTTGAAGTTCTGACTCAAGTAGCATTGCTTCCACAAAGCTTTATCTGACAAATATGTACTAATTATTTTCTCCTTTATTTGCTCAGGATGGTTTGCAAAACTTTTAATGTCACATTAATCACATTTTGTTATGTTGCATCTTTTCTTGCATTATAAATCCTTGATGTTAGAAACTATCTTACCCATCCCATTGTCTTTATAGTGTTCTTACTCATAGACATGATATAAATTGTATATTAGGTGAAATTATATTCAAATGTACAATGTGACTAATAATGGTGAGTGATACTAGGTCTCTCGAGGCATTAAATAGGTATTCATTTTTTCAGAAATAGTGCTTAGCTACTTAAATAAAATTAAATCCAACTCCAGAGTGCTACTGTCACATATTTGTGAATTTTATAAATTTTTTTCTCTTATTATTTTTTTTTTCATTTCATTGTGGCCAGAGAACATACATAATTGGTGTGCCTTCAGTACTTTTAAGGCTTGTTTTATGTCTTAACATATGCTGTTTTCTGGAATGTGGCCCACTTAGCAACACATTTGAGTACACAACACTTTTTTAAAAAAATTTAAGGTATTCCAACCAAAATTTTGAAGACTGTTTAGATATCCATTCTCTGCTATTTTTGTTGAGGTTACTCCCATTATTTCTTTTGTCCTCAGAGAAATTAATCATCTACTTCTTCTACTACCTTTTAAACTCAAAGCATAACAGTTTGTCCTCTGTATCCATGGAGTCCATATCTGTGGGTTCAGCCAACCTTGGGTCAAAAATACCTAGGGAAAAAATTTTGTTTGTACTGTACATGTACAGACATTTCTTGTCATTGTTTCTAAACTGTACGGTGTAACAACTATTTACATAGTGTTTACATTGTCTTAAGTATTATAAATAATCTAGAGATGATTTAAAATACATGAGAGGATGCTCTGGGTTATATGCAAATACCATTTTATATAAGAGACTTATGTGTCCTTGGAATTGCATATGGGGGAAAATAAGGGAGACATTTAGGAATAAACCCCACTTTTACTCCTGAGATACTGAAAGGCAACTATATTTCATATTTTTTTTCTATGATAATCTAGCTTCCTTTTCCTCAGTGGGAAGGCATGATCTTCTGCATTATTGACTTTTGTTTTCCCATTTCTGCTTTTCCTTAGGGTCTTCTTAAAGTTATGAGAATAAGTTGGGAATTAATATCTCATAAAGTATCTGGTCACACAAAGAAAAAACAGGTGACAGGTTGAAAAAGAAAGAAGAAAAAATGTGATACTCAGTCAAATAAACAGAGTAGTATAAAGAAGTTAACAGTTTTCCTGGGCTTTGAATAAATGACTAAAATATTAGATCAAAGACCAAAGAAAAGTATAAGATAAAATTTATAATTTTAAGCAAACTTGCTTTATTATCTGCTTCTGTAATTGTTTCTTATTTTTTCTTTTTTGCTATTATTTTGTTTTGTCAGGATGCTCGACATGCTGCAGAAGGAGAAATATATACCAAACTCAATCAAAAAATTGATGAATTTGTTCAGCTTGCTGATTATGACTGGACAATGTCTGAACCAGATGGAAGAGCTAGTGGTTATTTAATGGATCTTATTAATTTTTTGAGAAGTATCTTTCAAGTGTTTACTCATCTGCCTGTAAGTATAAACAATTTTTAAAAATTGTAGTATAAGTTTGCTTATGAAATATGTTTTAGGATTTAACTCTAGATTGGGTTTACTTGTTTAAATAAAATTCCTAGATTGTATATTTCCTTTTCCATTATTATAAATCGGTTTATAAGGACTGGGCATGTAGCTCAGTATAGAACACTTGCCTACCATGTGTGAAGCCCTGGGTTCAATTTCCAACCTGCAAAAAAAAAGAAAGAAAACCAAACCAAAAACAGTCTAGTCTAGTCCTCTTAATAAATCAGTTTATAAGGCATCATAACTTAGCCAGTTTTTTGAGGTTCTAATTTATTTTACTTTCTAACAAAAAAAATTTATTTTCACTAAAACCAAAGGAAAACCCTGAAATTGACAATGTAGACTTAAATAGAAATAAATACTAGTAGAAGTTTTTGGAAAAATCAGTATAATCAATGGTTTTTCTAGTTATAAAGGGCCAAGAAGTCACTGACTAGTTTTTATACAAGAGATGAAAAGTAAAACAAGCATGTTCTGTCCTGGTACATGTTCTTAGTTCATGTATATCTTGAACTTCGGTTGATGAAACAATTAAAAAAAAAATTAGAGCAAGGACATTTGGATGTAAATAGGCTGGACACCGGATTCTCCAGATGAGGACTACAAAGGCCAAAGGGTGGGATGAACATGCTCTTATTAAGTGTATCTAGAAAATAATATAACCACTGTGAAAAGAGAAATACAGTAGTTTTACACAAATAAAATAGGAATAAATTTTATCAACATTTTTATCATATGATAGAAGATGTAGCTGAACATAAAAAATAAACTATTTAATTCAAAACTTAGCTAACTACCACCAACCCTCTTCCTTGTTTGAAATGGAGGGGGAAAAAAAAAGTATTTTCCTTATCTTTACCCTATCCTCTTTCCCCATCAGGAGTTGTTCCAAAGAGCTAATTAGAGAAATTGAGGGAAGATGTTTCTATAGAAATAAATAGAAGAACATCTTAAAGAGATTTTAATCATGGCTCTTGGTCAAAGAAATTTTAGGTGCTTACCTGGGGATGATATTTTGTTTCTAATTGCTGTCCTTGAATTTATTTAAAAAACCTGTAAATATTTTTAATTAATTTTTACATCAACTGATTTCTAAAGAAGTGCTTTTCTTGTATATGCACTAAATAATTATTGAGTTAATTTGAATTCACCTTGTCAGTATAAATCTCTATGCTTCTAGCCAAAAGCAATCTTCAAGGATAAATATATACACAATGTATATATTGTGTTTTTATGTTGTAATATCTGCATCACAAGTTGGTAAGAAGTGATAGGTAGGAATTTTGTGTATACATGGGATAAAATTAAGAGAGATTATATGTTAGAAATGTTTAGGATAAATCCCTCGCTTTAGAAGGCTCATATCCTGGAGGAAATCCCAGTTTCTCAAAAGAGACTGACTACTTTGTGAGAAACAGACTCTTAGTCTAACTAGATTCAATCACTTACCTGATACATTGTGATATTTTGTCTGATTTTAAGTGAGTATTCGTATGCCATTTAAAATTTTTATCTTATCTGCATGGGTTTTTCTATAAAGAAAATAAATTTTTATACAGTGTAGACAGATAAATTCAACAATAAATTTAGGACATGACCAAACAATTCACAGCTAAGAGAATGTTCTTACAATAGTATGTTCTTATTTAAGGATGAACTAAAAGAATTTTTAAGCAAAAATATTAAGTTATTGACTGTGATAGATTTTAATTATAATTAATAGAGCAACTATATTGTGGCTTAGTGTATTCCCTGAAACTCTGAAATTATATAAAATATTAAACTAGGTTGTTTTCTTTCAAGCAAATTGACATAGTTACTAAATGCATAATTTATCTAAACCAAATATGACATTATGTAAGCTATCATTTTTAAATATTTTAAGCTGAAAATGATTTCTTAGTTTTAGATTATTTGTGGACTGAGATAGAGAGACCAATTCCAAAGTTCTTCAACCCTCAAAGAAGCTTCAGAATATATTTATTTATCACATGTAGTCCCAATTCAGGCAGCAAGCAGAACTAGTTATCCTACTTATAGACATACGAGGTTAAATAATGTGTCTAATTTTAGACTCATGCCCTATCTTTGGTTTTAGCAATGTTCCTGAAAAATGGGGTGAGTTAGTCAGTGGAAGCTGTGAAACTAATGACCCTTTCAAATAGTGCTAATATTGGCCAAAAGTGCAAAAAATTGGGACATGGAAGTAAATTTTCTGCAATAAAAGAAAGTGGCTCTTACTTCCCCTGCAACTCTGAAAAGACACAAAATTGAACATGTTCTGTTTAAAATCTCCACCTGTAACTTTACTGAATATTTAGGTTTTTTTGTCATTTCTATCACTGTTGCAAAAGAATGTTTTCTTTATCAAAGACTTTCATCATGTACAATTGGCGACCACATTGCCCAGTGAAAAGTTTCATTGATTCCAGAAAAGTTACAATTATCTAACAGAGTTTTGTTCTCTGCTTACAAGATCTGAGAACAGTAGAAGTTAGTAGATAATCATGGTTTTGATGGAGCCTAGGGAAAGAACTCTGTCATTTTCAAATTATGGTAGCAGTAGAAAGCTGTAGGATTTGGAGAACTACCAGTTATGTCCACTTTTTATTTTCTCTCCAGGGTTAAATGAATGAGAGAATGGATATCTCTTACTTGTTTCTCTTAAGAGCGAATATAAACCTTTTTAGGAAATGGAAAAATAAAAGAGCTTTTTTGCCTCCATATTTAATTAGCTATTCCTCTTCATTTCATTGTGCTCCAGCAGATAAGACAAGCTCTTTTCTGGCCAGAAGAATTAACAGAAATTGAAATAGTCAGTATTTGTAGTAATCACAGTTGTTTTTCCATTACTCAAAGTATTAAGCTTCCCTGCTAACTATGTTTTCTGCCTCAAGGAAACTTGCCTTTTTCATGGCTCATTTAGAATTAAACTCATTAATCTTTTATGGTTCCTACAGGCTTAGGTGCTGAAGTGATGATATTCATAGAATAGGCTCTGGAATTAGGATGATTGAGTTTGAACCTTAATTTATAATTTGCTAGCTATAGGGTCCTGGCAATTTGTGTAACCTTTCTGTGCCTCTTCCCTTCCACAAAATATAATGTATATATAATATATATTAGTTTCAGATTATTTGTGGACTGTGTAAAATATAATAATATATTTTGGACTGTGGAAAATATATATATTTGTGGAAAATATATATGTATAATATATAATCCATTCATTCTCCATAGGACTATTATAGGATGAATTAAAATGCTGTGTAAAAACATTGCCTGACAGGGTGCTTGGCGTGAAGTAGACAATATTAATAAATGTTTTTAAGGTTTAGTTAATATGTGAAATAAAAATTACTTTTTCCCTGTATCAGTGCCCTTGGAAATAAACAAGTTTTACTATTTCAAAATGTGTAAATAACCCTTCTTTTTTTATAAACTTTCCCTGACAGTTAGAAAATACAGAAGAAAGACAACAAAAAATTAATTTTGTCAAGGGATGATTAGTGTTTTTATTTTAGCCTGTGTTCTGCCAGTTGTCTTTTCCTATGCATTTATGACATGTATTTTTTAAAATAACTTATAAGCAAACTTTTTTGTATTGTAAGATTTTATATAAGCCAGAAAATGTTATACTAAGGAAATTTTTTAAAAGCATTAAACATTTACTTACTGTTAACACGAATATAAATGAAAGAAATTTTTGAGCCACTTGTACATCTAGGCTCTCTCCATGCCTGCCAATGGAACTCAGTAACATTTTACTCCAACTACTGCTTCAAGACCCCAGAAATGGTCTATTTCTGGAAAGAAGAGTTAACATTTCCTTCCTTCATAAACGTTATTTATGCGTTTGCTTTAATAAAGATAATTTATTGATTTACAACCACTAAGGGATATATATAAATGATAGTTTTTAATTTCATCACAAATATTTATTAACGAAAGGGCCCCGATTATTCAAATGTGTACTAACAAATAATTATCTTCTATAGTAGAAATAAATGGAAGCTCTCAAATGATCAGTTTGCTCATATTTCTTCCTTTTTAAGAACTTTCCTTTGTTTTACTTTTAACCATAATGTAATCTTTTCTTCTTCTTTACTTACTCTAGAGGTGTTAGATTTGTAGATATATCTGATTTCTATTTGACTTTTCAATGTTTTCTTCCCAGAAATATCTTTTCCTTTTGCTTTCAAATATACTTAACTTTTTTTTCCTGCATTAATGAAAGTGGCGTGGACAGTTTTTTGAAAATACATTTTTTTTTAAAAAAAATTTTAGTTGTTGATAGACTTTTATTTTATTTTTTTATATGCGGTGCTGAGAATCGAACCCAGTGCCTCACACATGCCAGGCAAATGTGCTATCGCTGAGCCACAGTCCCAGCCCCTAAAAAAGACATTTTTAGAAATGACTTTACCTTTGGTATGTAATTCTCTAATCAAATGTAAATATAATTGGATGTTTTTCAAGAAAATCACTATATCGTTATAGGTGTTTCTCACTTTAGAGAATAAATGTCTGAAAAACTGTTCACAGCAATATCTGTTAATCAAATTATTCCTCCTAATAGCTTGTATTCTAAGATTAGAGATGCCTTCCTACTGAGAGAAAGTGACCTCAAGATCATACTGGGAAATTGATATTGAGCATACCTCTTCCCAACTGTGTATTCAGTTACATTACACTGGTAGTCATGGTAGGAGTATTTAGACCACTGTAACCAGCAAATGATACAAACCAAGTTTTTTTCCCTCCAGAGAATCACTGTTAAAAATTAACTAGCACACCACTAAATACAGCTTAACCTTAAAAATCACACTGTAAAACAAACAAACAAACAAAAAACTTAACTCAAAAAGTAAAACATAGAGTTGCTCAACAATAAATTGAAAATATGGGATTGGGGCTGTGGCTCAGTGGTAGAGCACTTGCCTGACATG